GAGAGAGAGAGAGAGAAAGAAAGAAAGAAAGAAAGAAAGAAAGAAAGAAAGAAAGAAAGAAAGAAAGAAAGAAAGAAAGAAAGAAAGAAAGAAAGAAAGAAAGAAAGAAAGAAAGAAAGAAAGAGAGAGAGAGAGGGAGGGAGAGAGAGAAAGAGAGATCACACTGGAACGAATGCACCACCCTTTCAACTTTCAAAAAGGAATTGGATAAATAGTTGGAAGGGAGCGGGGGAGGGGGGCTGAGTGGGTGGAGCTGGCACAGGCACAACACACAGAATGGGCTCCTCTTGTGCTGCACAATCCTCCATGTCTGGCTTTCAGCACCTTCATTAGCAATTACATCAAAGTCCTGTATTATAAAGTTCGCATCGTGCTCAAAGTCAAATTGGTGTTTATAATCGCACCTTTCAAAGTCTGGCAAAAGCAGCGGTCGAGAGCAGCACAGATCGAAATGGACGAAATGGTCACTTTGGGCTCGAACATGAGCGGAGATGCACAGACATGCACACACTGTTCTCTGCCACCATATCCTCTTCAGCAGTTTGGGAGTGTCGCACTCCCCAGTCCGCTGAGGCTGCCAGCTGATCTGGCTGGTACAAATCCGCTAGGGCTACGCTGGTTCAACAACAGTCTCCAAACGCCTTGCCCCTCCAGCGCACGGCTTCCAATGACCCACGATAGCAGCGTTGCTGACCCAACAATGCAAGAGGTGCAGGAGGAGGTTGGATCGAGGAGGCAGAGGATCTTGCTTGGCTGTTGTTTATTGATACGGCAGGAGGATGCGGCAGAAACTCGAGGTCCCAGTGCGAGCCGGCTGGCTGTCACTGGGTGTATAGGCTGGCGGCGAACACTATGTCCCTCTTGATGAGGTTCGAGGCCTGCTCCATCTTGGCGTTGAGAGTGGGGTCCCCGATGATGCGGGCGGCGTTCCGTACATCCCGACAGGTCTCGTTCAGCCGCTGGATGCACCGCACAATGATGCCCTCCTGGACGTCCGTGAGCCTGGTGATCTCAGCAAAGGGCTGGGCACAGAAATGGGAAAGGCAGCAAGTCACAAGGAGTAGCAACACCGTCAACAGATCAAAAACCAAACACACAGTTTTTCGGAGCATTCAAAAGAGGGAAAAGTGAGGTATGAAGGAGGAGGAGCTGGGTATAAGGGAATTCAAGTGCTTAGGGTCTGCAGTGGAGCAATTAAAATCAGGGGTGCTCAGGAGATAAGAATGAGGGCAATTAGAGGACTGGGGCCTGGGATATTACAGAGGGAAGGTGGGCAATTTTACACAAGACTGAAAACATGTTACAATTGTGTTGTTCCCAGACTGTGGGATAGTGACAGTCAGCAAGCACAGAGGGCAAGGGGGGGTGATAATGGTCAGCAGAGTTTCGGATGAGCTGAAGCTTCGAGCCTGCGACGTGGGAGATCACACACAAGCAGCTTGACACATCAGAGGTGGAAAGTGACTAAAGCACGGATCAGCAGCAACGAGGAGTTGAGACAGGACAATGTCGGACAAAGCTAAGGAGAAGGAAATCAGTGACTTCGATGATGGCACAGATGTGGCCTGCAGCTCATCCTGGGTCAAAAACATCATCTCGGGGTAGTGTTAGTTACTAGGGAGTGGAGTTGGGGGTGAGGACTGAAGTCAAAGGCTTCGGTTTCCTTGACGTTTGACTGCAGGAAAGCAACTGGTGTAAAAATAAAGTGGTCTGGAACGCTGTCTGTCTTTTCTCCCCCCACTGAAATCTCTTTCTGATGACTTTGACTCAATGTTCAGGGAAAATAAAAACTGTTTAACAGCGTCGTATCTCAGCTTTCTCTTCAGTACCCTGAAAATTAACAAGTACTGTCCAATTGTCTTTTGCAAGCTCCTATGGAATCTGATTCCAATTCCCCTTTCAGGTGGCACATTCCAGACATAAACACTTCCTATTGGTGTCAACTGCTCACTTCCCCTCTAGCTCTTTCTGTAAAATGATAGTCAATCCACAGCCACCACCAACAATTTCTGTTTTGCCTCTTAAATGTCCCCAACCTTCTCTGCTCTGTGGAGAACATTCCTAGGTTCTCCAACCTCTCTCCATCACAGAGTCCCTCCTCAAGCCTCAACGTCCTTCCGAAAGGTTCTACTCAATAAGACCATAAGAGAAGGAGCAGAATTCAGCCATTCAATCTGCTCTGCCATTCGATCCTGGCTGTTATGTTTCTCAACCCCACGCTGCCACCTTCTCCCCAAAATGTTTGATCCCCTCACCAATTAAAAACCTATCTGTCTTCAACACACTCCACTTGCCTTCCACAGCCTTCTACGGATTCACCACCTTCTGGCTGAAGAAATTCCTCCTCATTTCAGTCCTAAAGGGTTGCCCCTTCACTGAGGCTGTGCTCTTGGGTCCCAGTCTCTTCTACTGGTGGAAATTAACTCGCTTGAATACAGAGGCATATGCTCCCTGTGCTTTTACGTATCTGCCTGTTAGTAAGTGCGTCTGCTGTCTGCCTTCCTGTCTGCACATCAGACAGAGAGGAACATACAGTCCCCAGGCTTCCATTGACCTTTGCCAGAGTTAGACGGGGATTAAAGAAAAGTTCCAATAAATGTGGAGTGCTTTTGGGGGGGGGTGGGGGAGAAAAATAATCACCTGGCACCTCATCAGCCCCCACGCACCCCCAGCTGACAGTTCTACTAGATCGGGGCACAGGTAAAATAGCAAGTGACCTTATAGCACACTACTGTAGCTTGCGGATACTCACCAGTCCCCGGGCCCACTCGTACACTACTTCCACCAAGCCAAACTTAAATTGCTCCACGTAATCCTCGACCGACTCACGCAGGCTGCACTCCCGCTGCAGCGTGGCTATCCTCTCAGCAACACCACGGATCCGCTCGATTCCCTGCAGAGAAGCAGACATCCGAATAATGGGAATATGCACTAAAGGTCTGAACGAGAGAGGCTGGACAGTTCAGTGATGCCAGCCTCCAATTCACAATGCTGCTCTTCAGGCAGAGCCCCCGCACCTAGCTCCTAGGGGCTAGGTACGTGATGGTGGTGCACAAGATTCTGACAGGTTTGGATACAGAAATGAAGATAAGCATAAGGTCTGGGAGAAAAAGATTTAAGGTTTTTGGTAAAAAAGTTAGGGAGGAGGGCATGAGAGGAAGAACTTTACACAGCGAGTAGGTAGGCACAATGGCTCAGTGGCCAACCTGCTGCATCATAGACCTGGGTTCGATTCCAGCCTCAGGTGACCCATCTGTGTGGAGTTTGCACATTCTCCCCATGTCTGCATGGGTTTCCTCCCACAGTCCAAAAAGGCGTACATGTTAGGTGGACTGGCCATGCTAAATTGCCCATAAGCATCCAGGACTGTGCAGGCTAGGTGGGTTGGCCATGGGTAATGCAGGGGTAGGACAGAAGAAAGTAGGTCTGGATGGGACGCTGTTTGGATGATTGGTGTGGACTTGATGGGTCAAATGGCCTGCTTCCACACTGTAGGGATTCTATAGTAATGAGGTGAACTTACTGTCCATGAAGCTCGCGAAAGGTGCAGACAATGAATGATTTCAAAAGGAAACTGGATGAGCATTGGAAGTAAATAAATTTGCAGGGCTAATCATGACAAAGGGGGAAATGGGATTGGACAGAGAGACAGTACAGACTCAGTGGGCTGAATGAGCTCCGGCAGTGCCTCTATGATCCTCTGACTCCCGATCGATACCCCAGTATCTACGTGCCCAGCCCACAGGGTCCGTACCCAGTATCCACATGCCAGGGGTCTATCCCTCAATTCTGGCTCTGTCCCAGGACTCGGCGTGCCCTCACCTTGCGCAGAACCTCATTCAGTTCAGGCTCCACCTGTGTTTTCTGCTGGAAGACCAGGCAGGATAGAAGAGCGACAATCTCCTCCGGCTGCAGGTCTGTCAGCACGTTCTCAAAGACCATTTCTGTCACAATCAGCTCGTGGTTACTGATCTCACAGGCCACTCGGCCCTTCAGTTGCACAGCACAGCTCTCGTCGATATACTTGAGGGCCTTCAGCACCTATTAGGTTTTGAGTTGGCAGTGGTGGAGGGGTGCATAGTGGAAGCAGGAAAAGTCAGTGTCAGATTTCAGGCAATTCCAGACAGCTCAACTGCACCTCCCCTCAACTTTCACACTTCTTAAAGCACTACAGCACACTCGCCAGTCCTGAAACACTGCCCCCCACTCACCTCCCCTGGCTCGCTCTCAATGACATTTCTCCCAACCCCTCCATCCGCATCCCCCCCATAATCTCCCATCCCCTGTCCCTCACTGACAATCCACGCTGACCACCTACCACACACTCCATACCCTGGCTCTCACTGATCTTGGCACCCATCCCATCCCTTTCCCCATACTCTCTCTTATGGACTCTCCACAATCCCCTAGCTCTCACGCACTGACCATCCCTCCCACCTCTCTCTCGTTTACTCCGCATTCCCCCCACCCCCAGTGTGCTCTCACTGACTCCCACAAGCCCCTCCAATCCCTTGGGTCTCTCTTGCTGAGTTCTGATCCCCAACCCTGTACCTTGGCTGTATCTCACAGAGCCCCTACATTAACTTACATTAACTCTCTGCTCATACTCTGGAAGCAGCATCAGGCTCCGGTCCGACACCAGGAAACGGAGTCGCTCCAGCTCATCTTTGATCATCATCCGCTCGTGCATCCGTGTGTACTGCAGGGAACATTAACCAATCAGTAGCAGTTCACTTGTATCGGTTTCTCACCAACACCCCATTTCCTCTGTCTACGCCCAACTCAAACTGAGCTCCTGAAAACTCCTGCAGACAAGAAAAGAAATCAGCAGCGATTATCCCAAATCAGCATCCATCTCACCCCTGTCAGAGGGAGATGGACGATTAAGAATTAGTCACTCCAGTACTGCCTTTGCGTACGGAGAGATTCAGATGGGCACTCGCTGGATTTATTAAAATTTCTTTGGTTCAGAACTGTAGGTCAATTAGCTTAACATCTGTTATCGGGGGAGATAAACCATTAGAAGCTCCTATCTAAACGTCCTGTTTTAACTTTGTTAATTCATTCAGCGTAACCAGACAGAGTCAACATGGCTGTGGATAAAGGGTAGTGAACATACCATACTTAGATTTCCAGAAAGCATTTCATAAAGTGCCAATTCTTGGTTATTGTGGGAAATGAAAACTCATGGCGTACAAAACTAGCATGCAAGATGGTTAGAAAATTGGTTGGGTAACAGGAAGTGGACAGTAGGCATAAATAGGTCTTTATCAAGTTGGCAATATGTAGCAAGTGGTGCGCCACAGGGATCAGTGTTAAAGGTCTTAATTGCTTACAATTTTTACTTAAAATGTCTTGGATGACAGAACTCAAGGCATGGCTGCCAAATTTGCTGATGACAAGTTGTGAAGTTGGCCTTTCCACTTCAAGGTTATCAGGAGGCACCCTACAGTGTGGGACTGCAGTTGTGCTGCCAGCCCACAGCAGAGCAAACAGATCAGAGACAATGGGTCAATGGGTAAGGAAAAGCAAGAGATCAAGTGGCAGCAGCACATTGGCCCATTGGTTAGCAATGGGAGACAGTATGGCAGACTCGGCCATACACTGCCCCGTATAGTCGGACAGCAGTTGATATTTACCATCAAGGTCTCCCAGCAAACAGCATCCCGGTTAACGTACGGAAGGGTGACACTCGGATAGCCACATGGCTCAGGGAGAGACAAAGGGACTAAACGACTGTACCTCGGTGGAGAACCTGGGGCTGTGGATGCAGGTAAATGCACTGAGGGAGTCCTCGAGTCTCCTCGCCCTGGTGTAGCTGTCGACCAGGTCCAGGTCCTTCAGCTGCAGGTCACCGATGGGGTCCATGCCAGCAATGCCGTCTGGGTGGGCCTCAACCAGCCGCAGGAGCTCCTGAGTGGCAGTGGTGACTGAAGGGCCAGGTGGGTCATTCCTAAAGGAGAGATTGATACTCTGTTAGATATACCCAGGCATGGAGAGGGCAGCGCCAAGCTGGGAACTGCAACCACAGCTCGCTCTACACTGCCCTCTCTTCAAATGGTGCGAGAAGGGGACAGGTTTGTAGGTGATGGTGTAGAGGTCATGCTGACAATGGGGGTTTGAGAGGGGGAGGGGAGCAAGGAAGGATGGTCTGGGTACGTGGCTGGTTTTTGGGGGAGGACTGTCTTTGTCCCAATGGAAGTGGGGGTGTTGTTGAGGGAGGGGCACGGGGTGAAAGCAGTGGCACTGGGTTCAGAGGGCCCCGACCCCCGCCCCACCCCAAGCTGTCCGTTATTCCACTGGAACAGTCACGTGCCACCTCCCCACACTCCCTACGTGTTTTCCGTGTTGTGCTGTTGACAGAGATGGGTGACTGACCTGAAGCGAGGGATCTGCCTCTTCTTGTAGTCATCGATGATTTTGTCGGCATTGATGCGCAGGGTTTTAACAGTGATGCTGCCGATGTCTTTGGCGGTCAGTTTTTCCACCACGTGGCCACAGGGTCCTGGGCAGGTGGGAAGAGATCAACAATAGGTCAGTCCAGCCCTTGCAGATTCCTCCCTCCCAATATACTTTGTGTATATCACACCAAGAGTTCAGGCTCAGGATTATCTCCCACAGGTAGCAGTTCAGACTCATCACTCTCCTATGGCCCATTCCAAAGTTGACCCTAGGGGAATGCAAGCAGAACCCTTCCCTCAATCAGTAAAAGCCCACGTGACACGGTTCCTGTTTGAGCATTGTTTTTCTTAAATTCATTCACAGGATGGGGGCGTAGCTAGCTAGGCCAGCATTGATGGTCCATCCCTAATTGCCCAGAGGACAACTGAGAATCAACCACATTGCTGTGGGTCTGAAAACACACGCAGGCCAGACTAGGTAAGAACAGCAGCTCCCTTCCTTAAAAAAGGACATTAGTGAACCAGATGGGTTTTTCTTGACAATTGACTATGGATTCATGATCATCATTAGACACTTAATTCCAGATTTTTGTTAAATTCAAATTGCACCATCTACCAAGGCAGGATTCAAACCCGAATCCCCAGAACATTACTTTGGCAGCCCTGTTACCACTACTATCCTACGAGCAATTACCTTGCTGACAGAAATCTCATTTGCAGCACTTTTATCAAGCCGAAGTCCATGTATGCCACAACAATGGGCACTGCCCCCATCAACTCTCATGGTTACTTTATGAAATGACTCTATCAATTTAGTTGTACGGGTTGCTGGTGGGACAGGGCATCACTGAATTCTCGTGGCGGCCAGCTCAGAGTGTGGAGGTGTGCAATGTGAGATTACACAACAAACTCACCTTCAGGAAAGAAGAGTTTATTGGCAAGGAGGTAGTCAGGAGTAGGTGCCACAGGTGATTCCTCAACGTCTTTCCCCGTCTCCTCTTGCCTGGACTCCGAGAGGACCAGGGTGGTGAACGACCGGTTGCTGGAATCTGTGCAAACCTGCAGTTCATGAGACAGCACTTGTTGAGCCAACGTTCGGAAAGGGATAGGAGGCAGCCACTCATCCCCTCAAGCCATTTCTGTCATTGATCATGATATTTACTTCCCTTAGCTCCTTATTTAACAAAAAAAGTCTATCAATTTCAGTGTTTAAATTGGCCCTTCCAAATTCAGTTTTCTTTGTATCAAAATAGAAAATGGAGAAGAATCTACGATACAGAAGGCCATTCAGCCCACCAAATTGCAGACTGATAAAAAAAAAATCTCTCCCACCTTTTAACTTTTGGTTATAGGAATTTGTGTGCATGTTGAAAAGTTATCTTCTAATTTAACTGTGATGATGGAGATGGTGAATAAAAGGGTCTTGTGAAGTCATTGAGTCAGAAATCACACGACACTAGGTTATAGTTCAACAGGTTTATTTGAAAGCACAAGCTTTTGGAGCACTGCTCCTTCATCAGGTGAAGTGGAGGGAAGCGTACAGGTACAGAATTTATAGGCAGAGATATAATAGTAAGATAATTCCAGGTAATAAAGAAGGTTGAAAGATATGGTTTAAGTGGAGTGTTGACAGGATGAATGCCAAGTGATGAATGCAGGTGATCAAAAGGTGTCAGACAGTGCGAGTAACTAACAAGTGGAGGCATGACCTTCAATCTAATTACCTTAATTAGTTTGTATAGTTGTCAATTACTTGTTACTTTGGTTAGACCCTCGCCATGCAACTGATACCTATCATGTTATGCTAGCTATTTGGTTGGCCTCCAGCACCATCTTATTTTTGATTTTTTTGTAATTATCTCATCTGCGTTAATTAATCGGAACATAGGTCACTTTACTCACATTGTTTGACACTTTTGATCACCTGCAAAGACTTGTTATTCAGATTGTCGACATTCCACTCACACCATTTGTACTATCTTTTGACAGCCCTAATTACCTGTAATCATCTTACCATTAATCGCTCTGCACATAAATTCTGTGCCGGTGTGCTTCCCTCCATATCACCAAAGGAGCAGTGCTCCAAAAGCTTGTGATTTCAAATAAACTTGAACTATAATCTGGTGTCGTGTGACTTCTGACTTTGTCCACCCCAGTCCAACACCAGCACATCTTCACTGAAGGCACTAAAATTCAGCTTGCTCCCCACCACTGTTCTGAAATGAACAGAGCAACCAGTTTTCATCCCTGATCACAAGTGACATATCAGAACCATTCAGAGGCTGCACTTCTGTGACCTTCAAAGCGAAGGTGTTGGCAGACAATCATTTAAGGTGGATGGCTTCTGTACAATAAATACAAGCAGTTCAGCTAACCTCCCCACGCCCCCAACTGTTTTACCTGCAGGATCACTCCCAGGGCATTCTTGTGCCGTTGGTTTTTAACCACCAGGACTCGACCGACAGACAGTGTCTTGACAGCACTTGTGGATTCCATGATGCTCTTCTGTAACACGAAACAGAGGAGGTATTAAACCAGCAGAGCAGGAAGTTTCACCATTGTTTAATCAATGGGAGTCTATGCTCTGTCTCATCACACGTTACCTGCAGAGCATCCCTCGTGTATAGGAGTTCCCGCACTGTATTGTAATAGTGCTCTAAGTCACTCAACTGACCAATGCACTCCACCTCATCCATGCTTGACAGCTTCTTTGAGAGCTCCTGAATCTGCTGTTCATATATCTGCAAAACACAACGGCACAACATGAGAAATAGGAAGTACGAGAGGCCATTTAGCCCTTTGCACACGTGCTCCACCCTTCAACAGGAAGGAGACTTGCTGCACCGGAAGATGTCACTGCAGCTTAGTCAGAACATATCTGCAGCACTGCGCTCTGTTTTCATCTCCTTACGCAGGAATGGAATGACTGCACGAGCAGTTCAGTGAAAATTGACTCGCCTCATTTCTGAGATGAAATTTATTTTTTTTTTGTTTTTTTAAAAAACAAAAAAGATTAGGCTAAGCAGGTTGGGCATGTACTCTGTGGCATTTGGAAGGCTGAGGGGTAGACTTATTGAAACAAGAAAGATCCAGAGGAGAGCTGATAGGGTTAATCCTGGAAAGATGAATCCCCTTGTTGAAAAGTCTGGAAACCAGGCTGCCACAGTTTTAAAAAAAAGTGAGGAAGCTCTCATTTAAGACTGGACTAAGGAGAATGATTTTCTTCCAGAGAGTCGTCATTTTGTGGCATTCTCTTCCTCAAATGATTGGAGGCAGGGTCACTGAATACGTTCAGTATTGACTTAGATAGATTTTTGATAAACTAGGGTGTTAAGGGACTTGGGTGCAACAAGAATAAAGTGGAGCTCAGGCAACAATTGAATCAGTCATGACCTTATTGAAAAGTAGAGCAGGATCAAAGGGTCAAATGGTCTACCCCTGCTCCTATTTCTTCTGTTCTTGTGCTACAATCCCACTTTCTTGCCATGTCTCAAGAAAGGAGAAAACTCAAGCTTGTAACAAAAGAGAAAAGTTCAAATTGTTACATTCGAACCCCTTTCCTGTACACCTTAGAAACTAATAAATAAAGATGAATGGTAGAAAACAGGGGCCACTGAAATGTGGGTGCCAAGATGCACCTATGTATAGGCCATATGAGAAAAGAAGAAGTGATTGCAATTGCAACAGCAAAAATAACTTCATAAAGTGACACACAGGGAAGAAAGTGCCAGCATTTCAGCCATTTGGTCAGAGCTGACAAACTACAGGAATCTTTTCTAGATGGCAGCAGAAAGAAACATTTACCTAGGGCAAGCAGAATGATGGATGTCGCAGAGCACATGCAGATGAACTACACTGATCGTGCAAGAATGGTGCAATACAAACAAGCATGGCATACCACGACAGCAGCTCTCCTGGCCTTGACGTTCAATGGGAATACCATCACTGAATCCCCACAAAAACATCCAAAGGTCACCACCAACCAGAAACTGAACTGGATGAACCATGTAAACAGTGGCTGCAACAGCAGGTCAGAGGCTAGGAATCCTGCAGAGAGTAACTCATCACCTGACTTACCAAAGCCTCTACAGGGCACAAGTCAGGAGTGTGATGGAATACTCCTAATTTGCCTGAATGAATGCAGCTTCAACAAGGAGCTCAACACCATCCACGATAAAGCAGTTCACTTGATCGGCACCAATCACTCTGTCCACCTATGCTCAACAGCAGCAGTGTGTACCATTTGCAAGATGCAGTTCAGAAATTCACCAAGACTCCTTAGATAGCACCTTCCAAACTCATGAGCACTTCCATCTGGAAGGACAAGAGCAGCAGATACATCGGAATACCACTGAATCCAAGTTCCCCTCCAAGTCACTATCAATCAGACTTGGAAATGTATTGCAGTCCCTTACAGCATCACAGAGTCAAAATCCTGGAATATCCTCCCAAACACCACTGTGGGTCTACTGACAGCAAACAGACTGCAATGGTTCCAGAAGGCAGCTCACCAGCACCTTCCCAAGGGTAATTAGCAATTGGCAATAGGCAATAAATGCTGGCCCAGCTAAGACATCCCATCAAAGACTTTTTTTTTTTAAAAAAGTAACTACAAGTCAGATAGGGCAAATGTAATATTTCCATCTGCTTGATGAGCGATGTGTCAGTCGGACAGACTTCTGCTTTTTAAGAAATGTAAAATGAAATTTGAATATGTGAACTGATCTCAAGGCAATATTAATCTATAGTGACAAGATGAATGTTTTGAAATAATGTTAAAGTCCTTAAAAGGGCTCTGTGATAATCTGTGGCTGTACCTTGGCATCTTTCCTGGTGTGGAACTCGGAGAAACTCCGCTTCATCATGTCCTCCACCCGGAGAGCTTCCACCCGCAGCAGGTTCAGGATCATGGTGTAGGTTAGACGGAACTGTGACTGCAGCAGTGTCGGCTTTCCCTGCAACAAAACACACACATGCACTGAGGCCTGCATCTGTCTGGGCTGCACTAAGCAACTTGGGTAACAGGAAAGAGTCAGCAAAAGGGGCAGCAAAGGGCAAAAGAAGCAGCGAAGGGCAAGACAGAGTGAAAGAGCACGAAGGAAAAGGTTAAGCTGTTTTGAACTAAAGCTAGAAATCGAAGGAGGGTTTAGGCAAAAGCATTACAGGATGACCATTCTGCAGAGCAAAATCCACAAACAAAGCAACTGAATGACTGACAAACTGCTCCATTTCTCATGCAACACACAAGGTCACAAGGGCAATGAAGACTCCTTCGGAACTAGCCAGTATCCAAGATTGAATCGCATCGCAACCTCTCTCCCCAGCCCCTCCAAGTGCATTTCTTACCAACATCATCTTGTGGAGGTCAGCCATCTCATGGACCCCAGACTTGCACAGGATAATGACCATCCCAGTTGTGTCCAGTCCTCTCCTTCCTGCCCTCCCAGCCATCTGAATATATTCACCTGCAAGGTGTACAAAAAGTGTGTCACAGGCGGAAGATTAAAAATGGGTTAAGCTGTCAGGACAGGATTTGAAGGCTCTGTTTCGATTTATTTCAGTACTGAAGATTAAAGAGTGATAAGAAAGGAGCTTTCTGCTGTTTCATTTTATATTTAATCAAACGTGGAGCATTGTAGGACATGCACAGTATCCACACCAACCCCCTTCTTTTGCCAGGCCACTTCAAAAGGGCATTCAAGAATCATCCATGTTGTTTCTGTTTGTGGAGTCACTCACAGGCCAGCCCAAGGAAGGATGGCAAATTTCCTTCTCCAAGTGAACTGGGATGGGTTTTTAAATGGCAATTTCTTGAGCAACATTACTGATGCAAGCCTTTTATTCTAGATTTCACTCAATGAACTAATTTTAATTCCCTATTTGCCATGGTGTGCTTTGAACTCATCAGTTATTAATGCTGGTTTGGCCGAACTAGCCATTCCTTAACGGAACTGACAGAATTGATAATAGAGAGAAACCATTTTTCTTTGTGGAGGGAACTTAAAGCAAAGGGGCAGAGTGTTAAAAGTTAGAGCCAGACCGTTCAGACATGTCCAAACAGCTGCACTGATTCGAGCTAACCTGTGCCAGAGCTTATACTCCATATATCCTCCCAGTTCTCTTCATTTCACAATGATGCTGCTGGGATTAGAGAGTTTGAGTTATAGACAGAGGCTCAATAGGCTGGGGCTATTTTCGCTGGAGCCTTGGCAGCTGAGGGGTGACCTTATCGAGGTTTATGAAATCATGGCGGGGGGGGGGGAAGAGAGAGCATGGATAGGCTGATTAGCCAAGGTCTTTACCCCGGGGTAGGGGATTCCAAAACTGGAGGGCATAGGGGAAAACTTTAAAAGAGACCACAGGGCAACTTTTTCACACAGAGGATAGTACATGTAGGAATGAGCTGCCAGAGGAAGTGGTGGAGCCTAGTACAATTAAAACATTTAAAAGGCGTCTGGATGGGTATATGAATAGGAAGGGTTAAGAGGGATATGGGCCAAATGCTGGCAAATGGGACTAGATTAATTTAGGATACCTGATCGGCATGGACGAATTGGATTGAAAGGGTCATTCTCTGTGCTGTACATCTCTATGACACTCAGCAACGCATCCTTCTATTGCTTTCTCCCTCGTGTTGACTCAATCTCCCCTTAGATGTATCTGCACTAAATCACTTCAACTTCACCCTGCATTGGTAGCATGCCCATTCTCACCAGTCTCTGGTAAAGGCACCTCTCCCAAATTTCCTACCAGATTGATCAGTCACCACTATAGTGATGACTCCTCATTCTGGTCATGGCCGAGGCTGGAACTATTTTCTTTGCCTCTAACCCATCACATGTTAGCAAGAAAGCTCACCTGGCAGCCACTTTCCTGCACATCTCAGACTATAAATAAAGATCTATGGAAGAAAACAGGGACCGTTGGAACATGGATGTTAAGATGTACGCTAAATCTTCCATATTTAGAAGGCAAGACAAATGAAGATGTGACTAATTGCAAGGTAGGAAAATACTAGGATTTTGTCCACTTCTTCAGAGCTGAAAAATCAGGGATCTCTTACGGAAGACAAAGTGGACAGCAGCAGAAAAGGGAGTTGATTGAAGCGCAGTTGAATGCTGGAAGTGGTGGAGCAGGTGTAGAAAATGCTGCAGCAATTTTGACAGGATGGTGCAAAACAGATGCGTGTGACATGCCATGATAGCAGAGAGCCAGCACAGACTTGACAGGCTGAGTGGCTGTCTTCTGTGTTCTAACTATTCTACAAGGTATGTTTAGGGCAAATGGACAATAAAAGTTGGAACTGTAAATAACCGGTCTTTGGAACAGTTAGTGCAAGCAAGATGGACTGAACAGTCTCATTCTGTGCTGTAATGTTCTGCAATTCTACGCAGCAAGTGAGGCCACTGCAAAATGGATTGCGAGGCAGTGGCAGTGGGAGTGGAAAACATGCAAGTGCTTTTTAATTTATTGGCAAACTCAGTGTTTACTCCCCATCCTTAGCTGCCACAAGGTGAAGCTACTCGGCCGCCTCCTTGTACTGCTGCAACCCATGTGATACAGGAGACACCCACTTCTGCTTTTAGGACGGGAGCTCCCAGACTGCGACCCAGCAACAGTGAAGGAATGGCAACATACTTCCAAGTCAGGATAGTGCTTGGTTCTAAGGTGGTGGTCTCATGCATCTACTGCTCCTATCTTTTGAGGTGGTAGAGATCACAATTTGGGAAGTGCTGTTAAGGGAGTCTTGGTGAATTGCTACAAGGAATCTTGTAGATGGTACAAGCTGCTGCCAGCAAATGAATGTTTAAAAGGTGGTGATTTGAGGTGACTGCTAAGCAATGTGCTTTGTCCTGGATGTCATCAAGCTTCTCAAGTGGTGCTGGATCCCAACTCACCCAGGTGGTGTACATTTCATCACACTTCTGCCTCGTCGCCACTTGTGGACAGGCTTTGGGTAGTCATGAGGGGAGTTTTCTGGTCATTGGTAACACCAGGCCATTAAAATGGGGAATTCTGTGATGGGTAATACTAATGAATGCCAATATTTAAGGGAAGTTCTGGCATCCAGACCTCACCACTCCATTCAATTTTTCCTCTCACTCCATATCTCTACTCGTCATCCCCCACCTAATTACATCCCCCTGACAAGATTGGACTATGTCTCCTTATTCTCACTACCCCTCTCCACTTTTATTTGGTGGTCTGCCTCTGTAATGTGACCAAGTCCTGTCATGTATGGGGAGGGGAGGAGAGGGGTTTCACAGTATTACCTGGTGTCAGGTCTCGAAAATTTGTCCCGTCATGTTTGCGGATTGTGTCGAACACCACAGTTCTGGCTGGCATGTTCACTCCCATCGCAAAGGTCTCAGTTGCAAAGAGAATCTGTACCACATGGCAAAAAAAAAATTAAAATTACCCTGTGATATAAACTCTATTAACACACAGACAGTGCTGAATGCTATGTTGGTGCATCAATACTTCTGCAGGCCAGCTTACCTCAACTATTCACTCTATGGTGTAAGCCAGAGGGAGGTACGGACAAGTCCCACAGTCATACGACAGCACAGTATCAAAAGGGAGCTGTGCATTCTCTTTGAAAAGCAATCCACTTAGTTCCACATCTGCACTCTTCCCAATATTCCCACTATATTTTTTCTCCTGCAGGTATTGATCCAATTTCTTGCAGACGAACTCTACTGTATCTCTTTCTACCACCCTCTCAAGCAGTACACTCCAAACCCCATCTATTCATGGAGTAAAAGAAGTCTTTGGATTCTTGCCTCTGGATCTTTGGCCAACTTATCTAAAGTCTGTGCCCTTTGATGTTATTGTGTGTTTAGCTATGACAGACCATTTATCTTTCTTTAATCTATCAAATCTCCTCTTCACTTTCTCTATTCAAAGAGGAACAACATCAACCTCTCCAAAACCCTTCATGTACGTAATAAAATGCAATGCCCAAAAGTAGGTTAAGTCTTGCTACAACTGACACCCAGAAGAGTGTGTTTGGTTTTGGTCATCTTTCTTAGGGATGCAATGAAAGCACTTGAGAGAAGGTTCACTCCTGAGATGGAAAGGTTATGAGGAAAGGCAGAGCAGGTTCGGCCAACGATCACTGCAGCTCAGAAGAACAACATGCGTTTGTACTGAAATGTAAAACAAGCTGAGGGGGCCTGGCAAGGTAGATGTTGAGAAGGTGTTCCCTCTTGTTGAGAAGGCTAGAAATAGGGAACACAGTTCTACGAGGAATTTCTCCACTCAGAGGGTCGACAACCTTTGAAATTCTCTGCCACAGGCAGCAGGAGTTTGAGAAAAAAAAAGTAGTATCTAAAGGATTAGGAAGTCTGGGGCAAGTGGGTGAGTTACTGTTCACACAGTATAATGTTATACCTTTACAAGTCCCCTGGTAAACAGCATCTCAATAACCTCCTTCAGGATTGGAAGGATCCCACTGTGATGGACACCAATTCCTCGCTTCAGAAGCTCCACCATCTGAAGGACCTGTCCAATAGAAACATAAATGAGTTTTCTTTTTTAAATTGCTCTAACAAATCCGGCGAATCATCTCATGATGAACATTCAGTCTAATAATATGCTTCAGTGTCAATATATTCTGGAGTTGGCATGGAGCCAAGCACTTGCTGTGACACAATCCCACTGAACACACCAAATCCTGTCTGTCTGTAACCCAGGGGGAAAATACTGAATCTCATCTCGCTGTCTGTAACCCCAGGTATAAAAGAACAGAAGTCCTCCTCACTGTTTGTAGCTCAAGGCAAAAATATAAAACACTAGGCTTCACCTCACTATCAGTAACCCCAGGCAAGAGGATACTGGACTCCATCCTCACAGTGTAGTGCTTGGAACGAGGTCAGCCAAGTAGACCTCAGAATGAGTGTTCCCTGATTGGGGCTGTTAACCTGGTCCAATTATGGATCCCTGGCTGACAGTTATAAATAGGAGTGTCAGGGTTCTGCTCACTCCAGGAGCTAGCTCAATGTCATGTACTGTGCACGTGTAAATAAAGGGTGACTTGGTGATGGGATACCAGCCTTCGTGGAGTTATTTTACACAGTAACCCTTCCCACCAAGCACACTTCAGCGCTGCAATTCCATGCAAAGAGAAACACCTAATCCCAACTGTCTCTAACCAGAGGCAAGATAAAACCAGAACACCATCTGACTATCAGAAAACCCAGGCAAGAAAATACTGAATCCTGTCCTCTGACTGTAAACCTCCCCAAAAAGCACTGCTCCCCAATTCACTAAGACACAGTTTAAAAAAAGGTCAAAGCCCATCACACGCAATTACAAACAAGGAAGCACCTAAATCCATTTCGCTCCCTCTCTGAAAAACTTAGCATTTCGCAAATGCTGTGCAGAGCTAGAAGACAATTCTTTCCACATTTTCCAAAGCATTATTGCCACATGCACGCAAGTACCATATCCACCCACCCACACGCAACTGTATAGAAACATGGTGAGCCTGCATCTGTACACGTTCAATTTTCAACCCCTAACTTAATAAAGGATATACTTGACACAGAAGTCATGCAGTAAAGATTCACCAGACTGATTCCTGGGACTGTCCTGTGAAGAGAGATGGAGGAGATTGGACCCGGATTAGAAAGAGAAACGAGGAGCAGAAGTGGGCCACTTGGTGCTTCATGCCTGCTCCACCACTCAGTAGGATTTATCCTAATGCCTTTATTCCTGCTTTCTCGGAGATCACATGGTGCCTTTAAAATTTAAATATATCAATCTCTTTCTTGAATATATTCAGTGATTTGGCCTTCACAGACTTCACAGTGGTCTCCGGAGTTTAGAGGAACGGGAGGAATTGTCTTCTAGCTCTGCACAGCATTTGCGAAATGCTAAGTTTTTCAGAGAGGGAGCGAAATGGATTTAGGTGCTTCCTTGTTTGTAATTGCGTGTGATGGGCTTTGACCTTTTTTTAAACTGTGTCTTAGTGAATTGGGGAGCAGTGCTTTTTGGGGAGGTTTACAGTCAGAGGACAGGATTCAGTATTTTCTTGCCTGGGTTTTCTGATAGTCAGATGGTGTTCTGGACCTCTTACAGTCATACAACATGGAAACTGACCCTTCGGTCTAACTCGTCCATGCCAACCAGAATCTCAAATTAAACTAGTCCCACCTGCCTGTGCTTGGCCCATCTCCCTCCAAACATTTCTTATTCACATACCAAAATGGCTTTTAAACATTGTAAATGTACCCACATCCACCACTTCCTCTACAAGTTCATTCCACACACGAACCACTCCCTGTGTGCAAGAAAAACTACTCCCGTGTATTCTTCAAGTCTGACTCCTCTCACCTTAAATATATGCCCTCAAGTCTTTAAATCTCCCACTCTAGGGAAAAAGACACCCACCATTCACCTTATCTATACCCATCATGACTTTATAAACTTCTTGAAGGTCACCTCTCAATCTTCTCCACTCCAGTGAAAAACAATCCCCTGCCTATCCAGCCTCTCCTTATAACTTAAACCGTCTAATCCTCATTGAGACACACAAACTACTGAAAGGATTAAACATGGCAGACACAGACAGGCTGGTTCCCCTGGGTGGGGGCAGCAGAGTCTCAAAATAAGAAGACTGAGATGCGGAGGGAAAATCTTTAAAATTCTGCACTCCAGAAAACTGCGGGCGCTAGTCATGGAGGATATTCAAGACAAAGATGGATAGATTTCTGGATATGAATATTATCAAGAGATAAGGCGACAGGGTCGAAATATGGTAATGAGGTGGACTACCAGCTATAGTGCAGGCTTCAGGAGCTGAATGGCTTTTTCTGCATTTACATTCCGTCCACATAAACCCACCCAAAGAGATAATGACGGATCCAGTGCATTCATTTAATTCCTCATCACTCCTGACAGGAGTGGTGCTGTTCAACTCTACATTGAACTGAGATTTAAAGACACAGCCTCACCAACACATACCTGTGGTAGCTCTCTGTCCGTGCCCTTTAACCGGGAGATGCACTTCTGGAAGAAAATGTGGATCTCGCTCTTCTCCACGGTGCTGGTGAGGTCGACGGTGGTGAGCATGTTGGCATTCTCATCACAGCGGTTCCGTGAGAAGGTGAACGCCACAATGGGAAGGCTGTCTTTCTTCCTCAGCATGTCAATCAGGGATAACCACACGCTCTTATCCTGCACCCAGTGAATTGCAGAAAGATATTTATTGGGGCTGAGATTGCGGTAAGACGCCCAACTGGATATAGCTGTGGACTGGCTGGTCACGCGATCCCCACTGTTTGCAAAGCAAATTTAGTCAGGGTTCACATTTGGAAAATCAAAGGGCTCTCCTGTTTGGATTCCCATTTAGTTCTTTCATTCGGGATCAACAGCGGCCAGCTGGGCAGACTATTGAGTTTTATCCCGAGCAAAATTGGAGTTACAGCAACAAACGTGTGCTCTTGTACTCGAATCCTCTCACTGTGAACGCCCACAAACCATTTGCCTCCTTCAATGCCTACTGGACATGCAAACTTCCTTCCAACAACTGGTGCAGAAGGTCACCCCCAGAGGAGGAGAAAGAGGGGTTGTCGGAGGTAGGGGGGTTTATGAGAGCATGTCATTTTCATCACCAAGATATAATGGCCTCACCTGGCTCGACCCTCCATAGTACACTGGCTGCTTGGCTCCAAAAGACTGTGAGTGCTTACTGCTACGTTCCTTCTTGGCTTCAACTGCTGCGTAGTACCTGCAAGGGAGGTAAGGGCAAAACTGTGATTGCACTGGGGACAGACCTACCGCATAATCTGGGACTGAACTAGTTCACAAAGTGGGATATGGAAGGGTGTAAATACAATGGCTACCTTCACATTTTCTTATGTACTAATATTGTCATCTTGGTAATAATTCAAGCAAGGCTCTTTAAGACCACACTTGCCAAACTCAACGAACACAACCTTGTGGAAGGACAAGGGTAGCAGCTTTACGAGGGATACCACTGCCTTTAAATTCCCCTCCAAGCCACACACACTATCTCGACTTGGAAATACGCTCTTGTTCCTTCACTGTCAGTGGGTCCAAATCTGGGAATTCCGCCACCCCACCCCCACACCACTGTGTGGGTGTCAATGCACCCCTCCAAGGTTTCACACATGTCAGCGTGCCAATGGTAAGGCTACCACTTTCCGAATCTGGTGCCACTCACAGACCTCAGAGTTCCACGGAACCAGGGGAGAAAAAAAAACAAACAGTTGGAGGGCCTCCCTAAGCCAAATGGACTGCAGTGGTTCAAGAGGCAGCACATCACTTTCTCAACAGCAACTGTCGATAGACAGTAAATGATGGTCCAGTCAGCAAGGCCCACATCCCACAAATGAATTTTTAAAAATAAGGAAAGAACAGGGGCAAGACACTTAAAAACAGAGATGAGGCTCGAGAGAGGAAGGAAACAGGGCCTTGCTTTAGCAACAGATGGTATCTTCAACAATGTGACACTCCCTCATTAGTGAGTACCCACCCCAACAGTGCAGAATTTCTTCAGTACTGACCCTCCCTTGACACTGACCCACAGACATGCGCACAGACAGGCCTCAGACTCACGCCTTGGTGAGGAAGTTCCCCTGAGCGTCGAGCAGCAGGAAGAGTTCGTTCTGAGTCTTCTGGCTGTTACCCGTATACAGATGATGCTCCAGAGGCACCGGCCTCTTCATGGTGCTGATCACATAGATCTTCTTCTTCTTTATCCTCCTGCAGGGTGGATGGGAATAAAGATCCAGGTTAGAGGCTGCCTACTTGGCAAAGAGAGAGAGCAGGAGTGCGCAAATTCTGCAGTTGCTAGAAAGCTTTTGCACCAGTATGGGGGAGGGTGGGAGACAGGAAAGAGGAGACCTAAACACAACTTCTCAGCCACTGCAAAACCAGCAGCGCAGAGTCTCAAGGCCGAAAATAAGTTAAGATTCTGCTCTGGACAACCCTGACAGAACAGGGAGGACAGTCTGAAATGGGCAAACAATGCACCCAGAGTATAGCATACCAACAATGCAGTTTCAGTTGGCTAACAACTCTCTCCCTACTTGCTGTCCATACTATGGCATTTTCCTGATCTACTTCAAGTCTGTGTTTGGCCAATGTTATTCAATCTTGCAGCATTTGAGGACTGTTTTCTCTACTGCCCCTGTACTAGACCTCAGTCCCAAGCTCTCTGGAGTCAGAAGACTGGCGTTTAAGAGCGAAGAAGTCCAACCGTGGGCGCCATGATGGCTCAGTGGTTAGCACTTCTTCCTCAGAGTGCCAGGATCCAGGTTTGATTCCAGCCTCAGGTGACTGTCTGCGTGGAGTTGGTACGTTCTGCCTGTGTCTGCATGGGTTTCCTCCCACAGTCCAAAGATGTGCAGGTAAGGGTGGATTGGCCATGCTAAATTGCCCCATAGTATCCAGGGATGTGCAGGATAGGTAGTTACAGGGATAGGTGGGGACAGTGGGTCTGGGTGGGATGCTTTCGAGGGTCAGTGTGAACTTGATGTGCTGAATAGCCTGCTTCTGCAGGGATTCTATGACTGTAGATTGTACATTGTATCAGGCCTTAATGAGAGCATGACTGTGCACAGGACTGTTCTCCTTACCCAGGAAAGGATAGAGCAGCTGTAAGGGAGTGCCATATAGGTTCACTGGGCTAGTTTCTGAGATTAGTGGATTGCCCTTTGAGGAGAGAAATGCCTATAGTTCACAAAGTTCAGAAGAATGAAGGGGATCTCATTGAAACACAAAGTTACCAGACCGCTGACAACGTAGACGCCGAGAGCTTATTCCCTCTTGTTTGAGAGTCAGGATGTAGGGGCACAGTCTCAGAATAGTGGGCTGGCAAATAACAACAGACACAAAAGGGGAACAGTCATCTCTTTAAAGGGGTTGTGAATCTTTGAAATTCACATATATTCGTGGACGTTCAGTCATTTCCCGTGTGTAAAGAGATTGCTAGATTTTTGGATAGCAAAAGATCTGCAGGATATGGGGACAGCATGGAGTTGAGGTAAAAACATAAGTCATGACCTTACTGAACGAGGGAGCAGACTCACAAATCAGATCAAAGTCTTTACTGGAAGTGCTCGACCAGCCTTTGCTAAAATCAGGACTCTGCTTTCTTGCAGTGAGAACAGTTATTCAATTCCAGGCTCAATTTACTTTTAAATCAGCAATGCAAGAGACAAAATTCAAGCCAGTGGTTTATCCACACCGCTCGTCCTTCTGAAGGCCCCTTGAGGGGAGTTGCAGAGCATGGAGAAGGGTGGGTGGTAGTCTCCTTTATTCTAAGGCTCAGAAGGAAAAGCTCACCCGATCCAGTCGGCAAACTCCAGGGTATTGGGAACTGTAGCGCTCAGAAGAATGAGATTCACATGGTCTGGGAGCATGATCAGCACTTCCTCCCATACAACACCCCTCTGCAAGAAGAGAAGAAAGGAAACTGCATTTACATAGCACCTTGCACAACCTCAAAAGTGCTCCACAGCCAACAAATGGTGCCATAACTATTTTTCTTGCACTCATCAGAGCAAATGCAAGAATGCCAAATTTTAAAAAGCAAGCTCAACAATTTATCCCACAGAAGAAAAGAGGTTTTGATTCTTTTCTCCATTGCACGGTCTTGGCCAAAGGGGAGCTACAGGATCGACAAGCTCAAACATAATTTAAGTGGTTGACGCCTCATTTTATAACAGCGATCCCCCAATTCCAGATCTCTCATCAGAGGAAACATTAATTCCACATCCATCTTGTCAAGATCCCTTACGATCTTTTATGCTTCAATTAAGTTGCTGTTACTCTTCCAAATTCCAGTTGATTCAAGCCTAGTCTGTCCAACCTTTCCTCAGAAGGCAACCCAGCTATTCCAAAGTATTAGACTGGCAAACCACTGAACTGCTTCCTCATCCTTCCTTAAATAAGCTAAGCAATACAGTACACGGTTTTCCAGAAACAGTCTCATAACTGCCCTGTACAACTGAAGCACAGTAAAGCATAACCTCCCTAAATTTTGCAACCAAGTATCCATGTGATAAACAAATGACATTTCTTTCCCAAGCATGCTCCTTAAATCTTCCCAATTACTTGCTCTATCTGCACACTAACCTTTCACCATTCATTAACTAGGACACCCAGATCCCTCTGCAGCCTCAGCACTTTTTATTCTTCCTGCTAAAATGGGCAATGTCACATAATTTTTCCACATCATCCTTCATTTGCCACAACTTTGCCCACTCACTTAACCTACTGATATCCCATTTACTCTCTTCCAAACGGACTTTACTCCCTCACTGTGTTGTAAGCAAAATTGACAACAATACCTTCCATCTTTTCATCCAAACCTCTTGTTACATTTCACCAACCTGAAAAAGACCCACTTACATCTATTTTTTGCTTCTTATTAGCCAATCAGTCTTTTATCCTTACCAATATGTTATCACCTACACTGAGATGTTATTTTGGAAAATAACCTTTGATGTGGCAAGTTATCAAATGACTTCTGGAAAGCTAAGTGTAGTACATTCAATCATTTTCTTTCATTCAGAGCATGTTACTTGCTCAAAGAACTCCAATACATTGTGCAAACAAGATTTCTTTTTTGCAAAACCATGTTGACTCTGTGTGAATACACTGCCTTTAATTAAGTGTACTACTTTATTCATAGCTTATAACATTTCCTTAAGACAGATGTTAAGCTAACTGGCTTGTGGTTTCTTGTTTTCTGACTCCTTCCTTTGAATAAAAGGTGTTACATTTGCAATCTTTCAATCTGATGGAGTGTCAGCACATTCACAATGTATTAAATGGCCTCCTTCTGTGCTGTACGAATCTTAACCCTCATTTGTTGGGGTGATTTCTAGTTTGCCCGAGAGTTCTGGGGAAACTCAAGTTGCAACCCGTGGATTTGTCTCACCTCGGCATCGTTGACATAATGGACCTCATCAAATATCACCCATTCAAGATCACGAATAACGTCCGAGCCATTGTACAACATGGACCTGTGGGAGACACAATGTTACAGAGTCCCAGTCTGCACAGTATCTTCGCTTATCCTTTCAGAAGATGTGGGCGTCACTGGCAACAGCAGCATCTGTTGTTCATCCTGAATTGCCCTTGAACTGAGTGGGTTGCGAAGCTCTTTAAGAGGGCAGTTAATTGCTGAGGGTGGGCACTCACGTATTGACAAGGATAAAAGCATTGAAACACAGAAGATAAAAAGCAGGAGGCCACCATTTGGCTCTTCGAGCCTGCTCCACCATTCATTGTGATTGTGGCTGATCATCCACTCAATAGCCCAATCCTGCTTTCTCCCCATAACCTTTGATCCCGTTTGCCCCAAGTGCTATATCCAGCCAGCTCTTGAATACATTCAATGTTTTGGCATCAACTACTTCCTGTGGTAATGAATTCCACAGGCTCACCACCCGTTGGGTGAAGAAATACGTCCTCATCTCTGTCCTGAATGGTCTACCCCAAATCCTCAGGCTGTGACCCCTGGTTCTGGACACACCCACCATCAGCAACATGCTCCCTGTATCTACCCTGTCCAGTCCTGTTAGAATTTTAAGTCTCTATGAGGTTCCTCCCCGCCTCATTCATCTGAACTCCAGTGAAAACAATCCTAACCTGGTCAATCTCTCCTCATACATCAGTCCCCCATTTCTGGAATCAGCCTGGTAAACCTTCACTGCACTCCCTCGAGAGCAAGAGCATCCTTCCTCAAAGAAGGAGACCAAAACTGCACAGAATATTCTAGGTGTGGTTTCACCAAGACCATGATGTATAACTGCTACAACACATTCCTACTCCTGTACTTGAAACATCTTACATTACTTGCCTTTTTTAAACCGCCTGCCGCAGCTGCATGCTTACATTCAGCAACTGGTGCACACTCCCCTCTCCCAATTTACAGCTGTTCAGGTAGTAATCAGCCTTGTTTTTACTTCCAAAACGAATAACCTCACATTTATCCACGTTATACTGCATCTGCCATTGATTTGCCCACTCACCCAACCTGTCCAGATCATGTTGAAGAATCTCTGCATCCTCGGCAAAGTTCACCCTCCCACTCAACTTGGTATCATCTGCAAACTTTGAGATGTTACATTTTGTTTCCTCATCCGGAGTCCCAGCACCATTTCTGTACTAATATTGATCTCCCTCGATTCTTTCCTCTCACTAAATCTTGCATTCTCCAGCATTTCTAGTATTTGCTTTGCGTCCTTTTTTGTGATGACAGAACCAAAGTACGTATTCAGTTACTCAGCCATTTCTTTTTCCCCTCTTATTCATTCCCTCATTTCTGTCTGTAGGGGTCCTACATTTGTCTTCACCAATCTCTTTCTCTTCACATACCTACTGAAACTCTTACCGTCAGTCTCTACGTTCCCTGCAAGCTTACTTTTCTTTTGTATTTTCCCTTTCTTTGCTGAATTCTAAACTGCTCCCAATCCTTAGACATATTATTTTTCTTGCCTAATCTGTATGCTTCTTCCTTGAATCTGATGCTATCTTTAATTTCCCTGTAAGCCACGGATTGGCTCTTCTACCCATTTTGCTTTTGTAACAGACTGGAATAAACAGTTGTTGCAGTTCCCCCAACCATTCCCCGAATGTTTGCCATTGTCTATCCACTATCATCCCTTCAAGTAACTCTCCCCAGTCTATCAAGGCCAACTCATGCGTCATATCTTCATAGTTTCCTTTATTAAGATTCAGAACCCTAGTCTCCGAGTCAACCATCTCACTGTCCATCTTGATAAAAAAATTCTATCATGTATGGTCGCACATCCAAAGGGTCTCACACAGCTAGACTGGTAGTGATTCCCTTCTCATCACATAGTACCAAGTCTAAGGTGGTCTGCTATCTAGTGGTTTCCTCCACATACTGGTCAAGAAAACCAACCTGTATAAACTCCAGGAATTCCTCCTTTACGTCATTACGGCTAATTTGATTTGCCCAATCTATGTAAAGATTAAAATCACCCATAATCACTGATATTCTCTTATCACCAATATTCCTTTATCACCCACATCTCTAATTTCCTGTTTAAAGCCATTCCCAAAATCACCACTGCAGTTTGAGAGTCTATATATGACACCCACAAATGTTTATTGCCCCACGGCGTATCTCAACTTTACCCAGAAAGACTCCACATGTCAGAGCTAATATCCTTTCTCACTATTGTGTTAGTTTTCTCTTTAACCAGTAATGCCATTCCACCACCTTTTCCTTTTTCGCCTGTCCTTCCTGAATACTGAACACCCTAGGACATTTAGTTCCCATCCCTGGTCATCCATCAGCCATGTCTCTGGAATCCAATTGTATCGTACCCATTTACATCTATCTGTGCGATGCGTTCATCCACTTTATTGCAAATGTTCTGTGTATGGAGGCCCAAAGCCTTTAAGGATGCAAATATTATGATTCTAAAATATCTACCATCCTCACCAGATCTGATCTACACGTGACTCTACATGCACTGCAGTGTGGTTGACTCTTTAACTGTCCTTTGAAATGGGCCTTATGAGCCATGGTATGGTATTGTACTGCTTAAAAAAAAGTAACAAAAATGGCTGACTGGCATCCCAGCATTAACCTAGGCACCAGATCCCCAACTGCACCATGGGACTGAACTAGATGGACTGCAGCTGTTCACCAATTTCGAGGGCAACAAATGCTGGTCCTGCAAGCAATCCCACAAAATTATTAAAGAAAAAAAGCAGCTCTCAGGCAGTAAACTATTCAGTCTTCAGTGTAGGGTTGGCAATCGAGTGGGCAAGGAGGCAAGCTTAATAAAAACAAAAAAAAAAAAAAAAATTGAAAGGAAGAAAAAGAACGAACGAACGGACTCCGCGAGATCAAGGAGAGAGGCAGGGTTACAGACCTGAGAATTTCGGTCGTCATTATGAGGCAGGCAGCTTCTGGATGTAACTGGACGTCTCCAGTCAGAAGGCCAACATCTTTAAAAGTGTTTTTGAAATCCCTGAATTTCTGGTTGGACAGGGCCTTAATGGGCGACGTGTAGATGGTCCTGTTGAAGGAAGATGGGGGGGGTTGCAGGGAAGAGAGAGAAAATTCCTTCTGTGACTACAAGCAGTGTTGAAATTGAAGAACACAATAAACATGAGAGGTAGACCATTCAGCCCATCAGGCCACCCCACTATTCAAGACTTGGCTGATCTTTAGCCTTGACTCCACTTTCCCGCCCATATCCCTCGAGACCAAACATTGTTGGGGGGTGGAGTACCTCAAATGGCAGAGCGCAGGCTCAGTGTGTGAGGGGTAGCGGGATCGATGCTGACATTCGTATTCTGTGATCAATCTCAGCTACTCAATGACTGAGCAGCTACACCCTCTGGGGGTGAGTATTGTTCCTTGAATGACGTTTCTCATCTGTGCTATCGCAAGACTGTGAAGCAGGACAAAGAAGCCAGCCTCTTCTGCCAGTCACCACTTCAAGATGGCCAAAAGCACTTCAGAATCAACTAAATACTTCTCTAAAGTGCAGTCCTTGTTAGAATGCAAGGGAACTTTGTTTTTTTAAAAACACAGCAAGGTCCCACATCAACATCAATGAGACAGATGAGCAGATATTCTATTTCCTTGCTTGGATCAAGGGATAGATGATGGCCCACACAACAGGAGATAACTCTCTAGCTCTTCTTCAGAAATATTGGACATGGAACATTTTAGTCACCTGAGCATGCAGACATGGTCTTAGTTTAAAAGTTTTGTTTGAGAGGGATGCACACCCTAAAGACTGACTCACTCCACTGTATAGCAGCACCAACAGCCCCCTGACCTCTCCTCACCACAACGCAGACATGCTGAAACTCAGACAGTGTGACACTCCCTCCAGACTGGCACTAGAGCCATCAAATTGCCCTATTTCCAAGTTGCCGCAGTGTGGATTTGCCAGAGGATGGCTGTGCCATTCAAGTGAATCAAGGTTCAGATGAGGAGCTGGCATTGATTTGAGTGACTATTGATCCTCTGTGCCCAAAGAGCTGAGGGAAATGAAGACCATGCGCACTGGCTTTTACTTTTGGCAGACCCTCACCTGGTCAGGTGTTTCTGTGAAAGTGCGATAGCGTATTCAGCGACGACAGTCTTGCCCGCTGACGTGTGGGCCGCCACAAACACGGAATCATGGGTCTCAAGACGAAGGATTGCCTGTTTCTGAAAGACGTCCGGCTCAAAGGGCCACTGAAAGGAAAGGTTGGGTGGTGGGGGGTGGGGAGGGTAGTGTTGGTGAGAACAACTTAACATTCACAGGAGAAGACGATCTTGGATCTTCAGTCATTGAGATATGCTAATAAAATAAAAGACTTTGATTTATACGGAACTCTTTACAATCTATGCTTAAAGCATGGCGCCACCCCAGCGCCGACCCTCCAACAGCACAGCATCCCCAACTACATTGTCCCCCCCTCCGACAGCACAATGCCCCCTTAGCGTGAGCGTGATAGATATGTCCTATAGACTTTATTGAAATGGGCGAAACAGGGGGCAGACTTCCATCAGCCCAAGCAACACTCCTCCACTGCTTCATCCCACAACCCCAGCAACCAGTCCCATTCCAATTCTGAGGGTTGAAGAAAAAGGCATTGAAGGCTCAGCTCTTACCTTGAAAGCTGGATCTGGGATGCGCTTGTAGAAATCGTCCACAGGGGTGCTGATATCGACTGGAACAGCCCACTGCTCCTTCTCTGGTACAGACCCTTCCTCTTTCTGCTCACTTCGCTCAGGCTGAGGGGTGACCTTCAGCTCCTGAACACAAGAGGAGACCCAAATTCAGCCTATGTCATGGAGAGTTGATTTCCCTCTGTACCAAAGCTATCAGCTGCTTCCTGCAATGAACTGCTTGAAAGTGCTGTGACGCAGATTCAATCAATCATCGCTTTAAAAAGGAAGTGGAAGAAGTACATAAAAGGAAACAATTAACTTGGAGATGGGGGAAAACAGGCCAGGAGAATGGGATGAAATTATTACTCTCTCAAAGAGCAACCACTCCCACTGTGGAGTCATTTGGAAATGCTGAGGGAATGGACTTGCTCAGCCTGGTTAAAGCTGGCTGCTTGGTAAGGAATCTAGAGCGGAGGTTTTGGCTCAGTCTTATTCGAACAGACCTGTTGTTTTTTTTTTTTTTTTAAAAATTAACCTGTAACACCAAATCTTCCAAGCTGTTGGTTCTGTGGAGAGGCCGCTTGGTCTCAGTTGTCTTTGCTTTCTTTTCATCCTCTTCGTCGCTGGATCCCCCGAGATTGAAGTCGTCCATCGTTCCAATAAGGTTTGTTAGGTTCAATAAGCCAGAGGTCACTTTATGCTCTGTAGATGGAGGAGGGAAAATAAAAAGACAAGAGCATGAGAAGGAGAGGGCAGAAAAGAATAAAAATCTTCAGTCCACACATAGGAACTGAATTGAATCAGCCGTGTAAATGCTGCTGCTGGAGACTGAGAATTCTGAAGCACAATAACTCAGCCTCTGACTCCCAAAAGCCTGCCCACCATCAACAAGGCACAAGTCAGGATGCAATGGAATACTCTCTCTCATCCAGATGGGTGCAGCTCCAACATTCAAAAGTCTTGACAGTATCCAGCACCACATTCATTCACCAGTTTCAAAATTCATTCCATCCACCACCAACATACACACATTGGAAGCAGTGTTCACCATCTACAAGATGCAGTGCAACAATTCACCTGCAACAAGCTTCCTTTAACAGCACTCTCTAAACCCATAATCTTTACCACCTAGAAGGAGAAGGGCAGTGGATTCACCAGAGTTTCCCTCCAAGCTAAACAGCCTGCTGGCTTGAAACTATATCACCATTTCTTTAATGTCACTGGTCAAAATCCTACAGCTCCCTTGCTAACAGCACTGTGGCTGTCCCTACACTCTAAAGACTGCAACAGTTTGAGAACATGGCTCACCACCAGTTATGGATGGGCAATAAATACTGGGTTGCATTCTCACCTGACGAAGAAGCTTCTTGGTTCCAGCTCCAATCTAGGATTGAGGCACAAAAGGATGAGCAGGAGTAGACCATTCAGCCCACTGAGTCTGCACCACAGTGCAATATGATCATAGCTAGTCTTCTGCCAGAACTTCACTTTCCCACCTGCTCCCCAAATCCCTTGGCTACTGAAATCCAAAAACCTGACTACTGCAGCCATAAGTGTTTTCAATAGTGGAGCATTCACAATCCTGAGGTAAAGAATTATGAAGATTCATAATCCCAAGTGAAGAAACTCCCATTTACATCTCAGACCTAAATGATCATCCCTCTACTGAGACTGTCCCCACTTCTTCTAGATACCCAAGCAGCAGAAACTATCTGTGTTGACCCCGTCAAACCTCTTCTCAATGTGATCACCTTTCATTCTTCTGTACTCCTGCGAGTGCAGCATCAACCCGATTTAGTCAGCCTCTCATTAAATTCTGTGATACCAAATGAATATTTATTGACTGTTAGGGTAGCTGTGAGAGTACATTTTATTTTGGATTTGCAAGTGCAGGCAGGTTGAGTACAGTTTGTACTCTGCCTGTGACACACAGCCAGAGGAACATGCTGTTTGACTGCACTGTATAAAGGGAATGCCACCCTTACTTTCTCTCGGAAATGACTGCAGATTAAATGCAACTCTTAGTTCAAAGCACTTACCTCTTTTTTTGAAATCCATTCCTCTTTTCCATCCTGGAGGCACAGTGAGTAAATCTGTAAAAGCAAATAAACAGAATTTATTTACATCTGCACAGGGTACTGGAGCCAGGGAGTGGCCGGCCCTTAAGCGGAGAAGTGGACGTTGATTCCTTGTCTTTCACACAGGAGGGAACAGGCATGGACAAAACAGCTGGACTCCAGAGGGGAGGGGATAGTGAGTGCTCCTTGACATCAAGGCAACATTTGATTGACTGTGGCTACAAGGAGTCCAAGCAAAATTGGAGTCAAGGGGAATCAAGTGAACATTCTCTGCTGTTCGTAGCTAATACAAAAGGAAGTTGTGATTGTCGGAGGTCAACTCTCCCAATACCAGAACATCTCAGCAGGATGGGGTAGCACAGTGGCTCAGTAGTGCTCACAGTCTCCTTGGGTTTCCTCCAGGTGCTCCGGTTTCCTCCCACAGTCTAAAGATGTGCAGGTTAGGTGGATTGGCCATAGGAATGCAGGGTTACAGGGATAGGGTATGGGGCTGGGTCTCAGTGCGATGCTCTTCGGAGCGGTCAGTGTGGACTTGATGGGCTGAATGGTTTGCTTCCATAATATAGGGATTCTCTGATTGTCAAGGGAGTGTCCTAGGCCCAAGCATTTTCAGCTGCTTCATTAATTATCTTCCCTCCATCACAAGGTCGGAAGTGATGCTCGTACAATCAGCACAATTCCCGACTCCTCAGATACTGAAGCTATCTAAATACACATGCAGCAAAACCTGGACCACATTCAGCTTTGGGCTGGTAAGTGGCAAGTAACGTTTGTGTCACACTAACGCCAATGACCACCTCCAATGACAAAGAATTCAGTCATAGCTCATTGACATTCAACGGTGATACCATTTTTGAAAACCCCACTGTCAATGGGTATATAATAGACAAAAATCTGAGCTGGACTAGAGTAGTAAGGGCGTGGAAGGCCCTGCCCGCAAAAGTAGTAGACTCGCCAACTTTAAGGGCATTTGAATGGTTATTGGATAAACGTATGGATGATAATGGAATGGGTTAGAAGGGCTTCAGATTGGTTTCACAGGTAGGGACAACATCGAGGGCCAAAGGGCCTGTACTGCGCTGTAATGTTCTATGTTCTATGGACTAGTCATAAATACTGTGGCTACAAGAACTGGTCAGAGGCTGTGAATTCTGTGGTAAGTAGCTTACCTCCCATCTCCCAGTGCATTATCAACAAGGCACAAGTCAAGAGTGCATTGGAGTTACTCTCCACTTTCCTGGATACGTGTAACTCCAACAATACCCAAGAAGCTCAGCACAGTCTGGGACAAAACAGTCGACTTGACTGGCACTGTACCCACCAGTTTTCAAAGTGCACTCGTTTCATCTTTGATGCATAGTGGCAGCAGTGTGTACAAGATGCACTGTAGAAATTCACGTGGCTCCTTTGACAGCCCTTTCCACACCAGTGATTCCACCACTTAGAAGGACAAGGATAGCAGACACCACCTACGTATTTCCTTCCGAACTACAAACTATCACAACTAGGAACTACATTGCTGGTCCATTTATTCACCGTCGCCGGATCAAAATCTTGAATTTGTATTGTAGGTAACCCTACACTTCAACGGCTTAAGTAGTTCAAGAAGGTAGCTCACCATTTCCTTCTCATGGGCAATTAGAAATGGATGAAAACTGCTGGCTCAGCCAGCAATACATTATTCTGCAAAATAATAAATTTTTGAAAACTACCAGCAGGGAGCATTATTCGAAATTTGACTCAGAAATACTTACCCTTCTCAAAGTCAATGCTTTCCTCAAATTCTCCCTTTGACTTAATTGTATCTAAACTTGGCTCATCCATGCCCCCTACAAAGGGAGGAGATGGATTGGAGAGAAAGAGGAAAAAAGAGAAAAAAAGAAGAGTGAATTAATTTTATACACAGAATTTACAGCACAGAAAACAGGTCATTTCTTTCAACAGATCGATGTTAGTATTTTCATGCCCTGTACACAATCCTCCCATTTTCCAGAATAACCTTCCATTTCTTTCTCCTTCATGTTCTTAACAAGAATTTTGATTTGATTTATTATTGTCATATGTACCGAGATACAGTGAAAACTATTTCTTCGCCGGCTATCCAGACAAATCATACCTTATAAGAGTACATCCGGAAAACAGAACAGAATGCAGAATATACTGTTACAGGTACAGAGAAGGTGAAGAGAAAGATCAACTTTAACATACAAGAGGTCTGTTTATATGTCTGATAACAGCAGGGAAGAAGCTGATCTTGAATCAATTGGTATGTGTTCTCAAACATTTTCAAAAATTTTTTTACCCTAATGGAAGAGGGTGGGAGAGTACAGTTGGGGTGGGAGGGGTCTTTGATAATGTTAGCTGCTTTCCTGAGGCAGCAGAAAGTATAGACAGAGTCAATGGAAGGAAGGCTGGTTTTCGTGATTGACTGGGCAGTGTTCACAACTCTAATTTCTTAAGGTCTAGGGCAGAGCAGTTGCCATACCAAGCTGTGATACAAATGGATACGATGCTTTCTACGGTGCATCTAGAAAAATTAGAATCATTGAAAGAGTCATTGTGGACATGCCAAATTTCCTTAGCCTTCTGAGTAAGTAGAGGCATTGGTGTGCTCTCTTGACTGTAGCTTTGACTTGGATGGATCAGGACATATTGTTGGTGATATTTACTCCTAGGGCTTGAAACTCTCTACTATCTCTACCTCAGCATCTTTGATACAAACAGGGGCATGTTCTCCACTCCACTTCCTGAAGTCAATGACAAGCTCTTTTGTTTTGCTGACATTGAAGGAGAGATTGTTGTCTTTACACCATGCCCCTAAACTCTCTCTTTCCTGTACTCTGTCTCGTTGTTGTTCGAGATCCAACTCCTTAAGTGTATCCATGCTGCTCACTTCAATTATGCCGTGCTAGCCAGCTCCAGTTTCACAACCTTCTAGGTACAACATAGAACATAGAACAGTACAGCACAGTACAGTACAGGCCCTTCTGCCCACAATGTTATCCTACTAAGATCAGTCTAACCCGCATACCCTACATTTTACTATCCTCCATGTGCCTATCCAAGAGTCACTTAAAAGTCTCTAAAGTATCTGACTCCACTACCACTGCCAGCAGGGCATTCCACACACCCATCACTCGCTATGTGAAAGAACCTGCCTCTGACATCTCCCCTATACCTTTCTCCAATCACCTTAAAATTATGCCCCCTCGTAATAGTCATTTCCGCCCTGGGTAAAAGTCTCTGACTATCCACTCTATCCATGCCTGTCGTCACCTTGTACACCTCTATCAAGTCACCTCTCATCCTTCTTTGCTCCAATGAAAAAAGCCCTAGCTCCCTCAACCTTTCCTCATAAAACCTGCCCTCCAGTCCAGACAGCATCCTGGTAAATCTCCTCTGCACCCTCTCTAAAGCTTCCACATCTTTCCTATAATGAGGTGACCAGAACTGAACACAATATTCCAAGTGTGGTCTAACCAGAGTTTTATAGACCTGTAGCATAACCTCATGGCTCTTCAACGCAATTCCCCCGCCAATGAAAGCCAACACACCATATGCCTTCTTTACAACCCTGTCAACTTGGGTAGCAACTTTGAGGGATCTATGGACATGGACCCCAGATCCCTCTATTCCTCCACACTGCTGGGAATCTTGCCATTAACCCTGTATTCTGCACTCAAATTTGACCTTCCAAAATGAATCACTTCACACTTTTCTGGGTTGAATTCCATCTGCCCCTTCTTTGCCCAGCTCTCCATCCTGTCAATGCCCCGTTGCAACCTACAACAGCCCTCCACGCGGTCCACAACTCCACTAACCTTCGTGTCATCGGCAAACTTACTAACCCACCCTTCCACTTCCTCATCCAAGTCATTTATAAAGATCACAAAGAGCAGAGGTCCCAGAATAAATCCCTGTGGAACTCCACTGGTGACAGAGCTCCAGGCTGAATGCTTTCCATCTACTACCACCCTCTGTCTTCTATTGGACAGACAGTTTTGTATCCAGACAGCCAGCTATCCCTGAATCCCATGCCTCCTTACTTTCTGAATGAGCCTATCATGTGGGACCTCATCAACCTCAGGAGGTTTCTCAGTGACTGTCTGAGATTACGGCCGTCTCTTCTGAACCCCCTCCAGGTGTAAAAACCCAGCTCCCTTTCAATATTCTTTTCTGGAGACATTTAGCGATCTGTCATGGGTATCAAGTAGACGAGTTCTTTTCAGGTCCCCAGGCATCTCTTGGGTAATCTTCACCTTGATTAGGCATAGGAGTAGCAGTGTGTGCTATACCTCAGAAAGCTTAGATTTACCAGAAGGCTGCCAGATATGGAAGGTTTAAGTCATGAAGAAAGGTTGGGGCTTTTTTCACTGGAGCATAGGAGGTTGCGACGCGACCTTGAAGAAATTTATAAAATAATGAGGGGTATAATGGTAGTTGTCTTTTCCCTAGGATGGGGGATTTTTTTTTTTTAAGGCGAGAGGAGAAAAATGTAAAAAAGACAGGAGGTGCAGTTTTTTTTTTTTTTAGGAACACAGAGGGTGATTATCGTGTGGAATGAACTTCCTGAGGAAATGGTGGATGTGGATACAATTACAACATTTAAAAGAAATTTGATAGGTACACAAATAGGAAACATTCAGAGGGATATGGGCCAGGGGTAGGCAGGTGGGACTAGTTAAGTTTGGGATTATGTTCTGCATGGACTGGTTGGATTGAAGGGTCTGTTTTTGTGCTGTATGACTCTATAAATACTTCACACATGTTCCAAAAAGAGCGTGAACTGATTAGAGAACATGAACATGCATGAAGTAGTGTTATAATGGGGATCAGACTGGTGAAAGTCGGTGGGGGAAGAACTGTCTTTGATTGGACAATGTCGCCACAAGCATCAGTATAACAATGGGGAAGCCAAGAACAGTACCTGGCCAAAATGGGTAATTGGTGGAACTGCCTCTTACAGATTGTGACGGAGGGCCAGGTGGTCGCTGCAGAGAAAGGGAGTTCTTTATCGACAATCCCATATCATCCAGTAGTACCTGTCAGGAAAGACAACAAGCAAAGAACTTTCATTTGATAACACTTTTCAACATTGTGTACCCCATCCTGGGCACATAACTATTGACGAAAATTTACTTTATTGATCCTTCATTGTCACGCTACACTTTCAGTGGGAATAGAAGCAAAGAATGATAGAGCACAGAAATCAGGCCATTCAGCCCTTAAGTCTGCAACAGCTCATTTGAAGTCTCATCCAGTCAGTCCCACTGTTGTGGGAAATATTCTTTCCTTTTGCCACCTCTGGTTCTTTGGCCAATCATCTTAAGTCAATACCTTCATTATCCTTCAGGCACTGGAGACAGTTTGTATTCATTACAGCCTTTTGTGATGTTAATCACCTCCTTCAAATCCTCCCTGCCTCTGGTTTTTTTATCCTTTCATGAGATGTGGGTGTCGCCAGCAAGGCCTGCATTTGTTGCCTGTCCCAAATCCCCCTCTAGGGCAATTAAGTGTCAATCATTTTGAGAGATAGTTATTTTTCAATACTTTTGACCTGATCAAGGAAGTAAAGAATTATTTTTTTGTTCAATAATGGTCAGTAAAATGCTGTAGATTTTATGTGCATGCAATCATTTGCTCTTAGGTCAAATATACAAATACTGGAACTTGCATTTATGGCCCAAGCTAACAAAAGTTATATCAGATTTTAAACAACCTGAGGGTTTCAGGACAGCTTAAATTGGTTTATACAGTCATAGAGCTGAACAGCATGGAAAAAGACCCTTCAGTCCAAAATTATCCATGCTGACCAGCTATCCGTAATTAATCTAGTCCCAATTGCCAGCATCTGGCCCTCAAAACCCTTCCTATTCATGTATTCATCCAGATGCCTTTTAAATGTTAAATTTGCACCAGTTGCCCCTTAGGTCCCTTTTAAATCTTTCCCCTCTCACCTTAACCTGTAGCCCCTAGTTTTGGACTCTGCTACCCTGGGGAAAAGACTGTGGCCATTCACGCTATTTATGCTCCTCATGATTTTATCAACTTCTATAAAGGTTTTGTAACTTAAAAGTATACAACAGACCTACATGTGCCAGTGCTGAATGTTATTTTGAGCTTAATGTATTTTGCTATATCTTGCAGTGGCATTTTTCCCCCTCAATTGTTACCATGCTTTAGTATCATGATAATGTCTGGCTCTAAATGGTGCAACTCCCATTTCTTTTGGAGAAGAAAAGAAAGCAACGGTCTTTTGAAACAACAAGGTGCAGGACTGGATGAACACAGCAGGCCAAGCAGCATCATAGGAGCAGAGAGGCTGACGTTTCGGGCCTAGACCCTTCCTCAGAAAAGGGGGAGGGCAAGGGGGCTCTGAAATAAATAGGGAGAGAGTGGGAGGCGGATAGAAGATGGATAGAGGAGAGGATGGGTGGAGAGGAGAGTTGCAGTGGGAGAGAGATCCCCTGAGGTTTGTCCGGAGGGAGGAGGGTAACTTCTTCAGACTAGGCATCCTTGGAAGAGGCTTCGCAGTGGGGTTAAAATTGAATCAGAGATAGTAGGAACTGCAGATGCTGGTGAATCCGAGACAACAAGGTGCAGGGCGTGCCTTGTTGTCTCGGATTCACCAGCATCTGCAGTTCCAACGGTCTTTTGAAAGTGACTTTCATTATCTTGTTTCAGGCATTGAGTTGGATGATTTGCCAGATCTAGAATGGCCTACTCTTGGTCATCTGTCCCCATCAACAGGGATTGTGGAGTCACATGGTTCTTTCAACCAAACAATATTAAGAGGTTTGGAATTTTTCAGAACACTTATTTATCAGTTGGAATATTTGGGATGACATTAATCGCTACCTACACTCAAGCAGACACAAATTACTCTAGAAGTGCCTTGTTACTTTGGTCGCATTCTGTAATGTTAGGAAACTAAGAGGTGCAAGCCGTCAAAAAAGATAACCCAATGAGCGACCAATATCTAAGAGTACAAGTCGGGGTGGGTGATTGTTTATTAGGAAGTGTTATCAGTATTTTGATCATCACTTTTAAAAGAAACCTATCTGGAATTGGGCACGTAAGACCTAGCCGATCAGAGACCGTGTTTTCAAGCATGGGCAAGCCAATCAAAGGTTAGGATGCCTCTAACAGACAGAGTGAAGTAGCAGTGAGCAAGAATTAACAACCATAATTCTTTGGAGCCCAAGTCAAAGTAAGCAAACCAAGAACAGAAGAAAAACCTCAGGCAAGAGAACAAGGGATATGTATCCAACCAGCCAGAAATTTCAAACTCATTTTCTGTTTTGAATTGACTAAAGCTACCACATTTTATCGAGTATCATTCTTCAAGCTAAAGCATGATACATTCTGAGAAACTTACAAAAACATACCCGTACCGAAATTGGTCTTGAAACAAATCAGGACTAATAGACGTTTAGGTTGGCTCTATCAACTTATGTCTATAATTGGAACTGACTAAAGTTGTACCATTAAACTGAAAATAAATCCCCAAGTCTTGCAACATCGCTCCTCTGCCTCTACAGTTGCATGTATGGACAACAGAACTTTCTGTATAAGAACATCAGATTTCCTTCTCTAAAAGGACAGTTGTGAATTAGAATTGTTTTGACAACGATCGACGATAGCTGATCACCATTACTGAGACTACCTTTCCATGCCAGGACTATTAAAATTAATTTCCACCAGGTTCCAGGTGCGGTTTGAAAGCTCAACACTGAAGCTCTAGCCCAGGCCTCTAGACTACTAACCCAATAGCATAACCACAAGGCCACTGTCTCCCCGTTCTTTAATGAGCAATCAGCCCAAATTGAGGCAGTTATCAATGCATCCTCCAAATTATAAACAATGACAAACTGATAGGCAACAGCTACAGGAATAGGTACAGACCCTGGTCATTGTTCTGGAAGAAGTGTTACACCTGATTTTGCTTGTTTCCTCAGATGTAAGGATTAGGCCCAAGACTTGTGCATAGGGGAGGTATTCCCCTGACAACTCCTCTTCACCACTCCCACCCCACCCAATATCCTGGTCACATCTCCGCCCCGTACCTCTTTATAGCCCAGCAACTCGCCCGTGGTCTGGTTCCTCTCCACTTTCAGCGTTGAATGAACAGGGGTGATATCGACGTGATACAGAGAATCCACGCATACCTCTCTTGGCCAGACCCTTCAGCGCAAACAGGAAGACAAAATGTTTCAGATTGAAGAGTTGGAAAGACAGAGATGAAGTATAATTGAAAAGTATACATCCCACTCTGAGGCAGAGAAGTTACGTTAAACTTGCATCAAACCGTGGTTTGACTGCAGTCACAATACTTCAGAGTTCTGGGCTCTGTGCTACAAAAGAGATAGAGGAGCACTTTATACAGCATCATAGCAAGGCTATAGCCAGACTATGAGCAGGATAGGCACTAGATAAGAACAAGTGGTGACCATATACGTACTTAATGAGCAGTGGTTTGACAGAGCAATAAGACTATGTCTCCACTTGTGGCCAGAGACCAGAACAAGGGGCTGTATAAGATAGCCTCTAATAAATTCCATAAAGAATTCAGGGAAAACTTGTTTATCTAGAGAATGGTGAGGATGTGGAACTTGCTACCACATTCAAGGTTGAGGTTGAGATGAATAGTTTAGATTACTACTTATTCACCAAATCAACATTGATCATCATATACATTAATACACAAGAGTCCTGCTGTTTGCAGACAAAGAACTTGCACATACGGTGTGTTTATTGCAACTAAACAAAATAGACAACAGTTGTTCTCTGGCTCATTCCTCAAGGCAATGCCTTGACCAGAGTCACTTGTAAACCAAGCAGCAAATTCTTCTCATACAGTATAAAATTGCTGATTGTGACCGCGTAGTCTCGGAAAAATTCACTTCATTAATCTTTCATTGTCATGCTGGAGGTCAGTTTGAACTGAGTCTTGGCTGGAATTAGAAGCCTTTATTTCTTAAATGTTATTTGTCTTCCCTTCAGAGAGGGCGAGACACACATCTGGATGCTTGCAGACTCTTTGGAGGTCTGAGAACTTCCCTGCTCTCTTTTCTCAGCTCTGTGACAAAACTACAAGTTAAAATCAATCCAAACGCTGTTGCTGGGCAGTATATTTTCCCTAAACCCAAAACCAAAGGAACCTGTGCCAGTTATTCTCACAAAAGTATCAAATCCAGTTTCAGCAGAAGTTATGTGCTCTCCTGTAACCAATAAAGTGAACAACACAGTACAACTCTTGCTTTCAATAGTTGGAAAAAGTTCTTTCCCTGCAACATATCAATCCAAATTTTCATTTTCTCACTTTAAAGTATGTTTCCTTCTTACAATAGCCAGTAAATAGGATTTAGGATTAGGATTAAGATTAAGCCATGTGGCTCTTCCACTCTACTTCTTCATTGAATTGTTTCAAAGCTTTCATATGGTCACAACCCCATTTCCTTGACTGCCACCCTTGACAAAATTAACATACTGATCTTCAAAAACATAATTAAGTCTGCCTTGAAAATTTTCAACAACACAGCTTCACTAACTTCTGAGGGTGAGAATTTCACTGACAATCCTCAGAAAACAAATTCGCCTCCATCTTAAAAGGGAAATCTCTAACCCGTAAATTGTGTCCCCTAATTCCCCAAGTAGTAATACCCTCCCAGCACCTTAACAAATTTCCCCTTGGATCACATATTTCAATAGCTTCACCAATGTACAAGACTAGCATGACACCTTTCCTGCACTGGAGAAGACCCTTATCTCAGGGATGAGTTGAGTGAATTGCTTTCAACAGAATTATAATTTCATTTTTTCCTGAGTAACGAGACCAAAACCGTACACAACACTCCAGAGGTGGCCTCATCAATGCCCTGCACAACTGAATTAAAACTTCCAGATTCAATGTTCTGATATCCAATTCCCCTTGCAATAAATGCCAATGCAAGACGACAAAGGAACTTACTTCTGGGAGTTTTCAAAATGATGGAGGGGCAGCAACGACGGGTCAGACAGAAAGCGTTGCTCTGCCTCAGTGATGAGGTCCAAGGCGAATGGTGGTAGGCCATGTGGAAGCTGGTTATGAAGCAGAACAAAATCAGCAAGTGGCAGGTCAGTTTCCCTGGATGCTCCCAGCATTCAGGCTCCACGTGTCACAACCACAGAATGCAATCCCAAAACATCTGAAAAATCCTGGAATTCCAGGGCATCAGAAACAGAACATGGCCAATTCCAACATTGATTATCAAGGTCACTGGTTCACAATGGCAGAATTCTCCCTTCACATCAGGCAAACTGCTTTTGCTGTGTAGTCACCTGATGGTCAAGTAAACATTACAGTATATAGAAAACTCCAACAAATATTAAATAACCAATGACTCAATTTGTGGTTGTGCTGGTTGAAGGTGAATTGTGGACAAGATATTCCTTCCCAGATACTGTCATTGAATTTTCACAGCTACTGGAGGGCGCGCGAGAGCGAGAGCGCAAGAGCGGCAGTGCCCCTAACTACAGAAGCGGAGGGACAGGGTCACTACCTTATGGGGGAAGGGGATGAGGGGCAGGAGCACTACCATGCAAAGATGGGCCTAGAGGAGGATCTCAACCAATAGTGCAGGGATGAGAGCATAGGGAGAGGTCCCATGCCTACAAGGGTTAGGGGATATCCCTAGGACGGTCTGGGAACTGCTGGAGAGAAAAGGGTTATAGTGTTAACCATGCTTTTGGGGGAGGAGTTCAGCAGGGCAAGGACTCCTACCCACAAAAGGGACGATGAAGGGGCAAGGGGAAAAGAAAGGCTCATTCCATAGCCAAAGAAAGAAAGACTTGTTTGTATTACACTGTCCCCGACCACCAGATGTCAGTGTCTTACAGAAAATGAAGTACTTTCTGAAGTGTTCTTGGTGTGTATGGTACAAAAACAGGACAGCTAATTTAAGCGTAGAGGGCTCCCTCACCCGCAATATGATAATGACCAGATAATCTGATTTTTATATGACATTGACCTGGGACAACTTCCTAGCACTTCTTCAAAATACCCTGGGATCTTTTACTTCAACCGAAGCAGACAGAGCAGGGGCAGGGATGGCGGTCTCGATTTAATATCCCACCGAAAAATTGGCAGTGCAGCTCTCCCTCAGTACTGCACTGGAAGGTCAACCTAGACTTATGTACTCAAGCCCTATGATGGGACTTGAACCGCCTTATTTGATCAGTGCATTGAGTATAGAAGTTGGGAGCTGTACAGGACTTTGGTTAGGCCACTTTTGGAATACGGTGTGCAATCCTGGTCTCCATTATAGGAAGGATGTTGTTAAACTTGAAAGGGCTCAGAAACCCTTTCCAAAGACATTGCCGAGATTGGAAGGTTTGAATTATAGGGTGAGGCTGAATAGGCTGGGGCTATTTTCCCTGGAACATCAGAGGCTGAATGGCGTCCTTATAGAGCTTTATAAGATCATGAGGGGCATGTATAGGGTGAATAGCCAAGGTCTCTTTCCCAGGGTAGGGGAGTCCAAAACTAGAGGGCATAGGTTAAAGGTGAGAGGGGAAAGATTTAAAACGAGACCTAAGGGGCAACTCTTTCACATAGAGGGTAGTGTATATATAGAATTAGCTGCTGCAGGAAATGGAGGAGGCTGGGTCAAGTACAACACTTAAAAAGCATCTGAATAGAAAGGGCTTAGAGGGATATGAGCCAAATGCTAGCAACTGGTGCTAGATTAATTTGGGATATCTGGTCAGCACGGAGAAGTTGGACTGAATGGTCCGTTTCCATGCTGTACAGCTCTGACTCTAATTTTGAGAGTCAGAGGTGAGAATGGAGGGAGGACAGAGGGTAGGGATGTGGGAGTGGGAATCTTCCTTATCCATGGAAGGAGGGAGATGGCATCCCACTCTACCCCCAACCTTTGCAGGGGGATGAGCACAATCACATATTACACTGTGCTGCACTACAAACAGCCACTGACACTCGGCATTGTTCAACTGGGAAATCACTGCTTTTCTCACAGCTCAAGATGCTAGTCGCAGTTCCTGTTTGTGTATGTACTTCATTTAGCAAGTGAAAGGCCACTCCCATCTGCTGCAGTCAAACTGTTTTGGTAAATGGATGTGCAAGTTCACCCATGGGCTATATTACCAAGGGAGAGGAGTACAAATACTCACTGTCGCTAAGGGAAAGATGTACCCGTTCTTTTTCGCAGGCTCTGTAATCAACTCAAACTTCCCAGAGCAGCCCACTTCCAAGATGGACAACGGAAGGTCATCAGGATGCTTTGGAGGCACTTCTACAGAACATACATGAAAAACAACAATTAGGAGTGGTGTTTACAGTTATGAAGGGCTTTGGTTAATTCTTTCCAGTGCCAGCAGAGTTAGTAACCAGAGGCGATAGATTTAAGGTGACTTGAAAAATCAGAAGGAAGCTCAGATTCTTTTCTTTAAGACAGTGAGTGGTGATCTGAAATGCACTGAAAAACTTTCAGGGCTATGGTGGTAGAACTGAAATAGGAGGAACTAATGATCTGCTTCTTCAAAGGGCCAGTGCCTAACCCTAACCCTAACCCTAACCCTATCGTATGCGAGACAGTCTGAACTGCCTCCTTGTGTTTCAGAAGACCCAACAGGGATTTGGTGAAAAGAAACAAAGTTACCTACATACTCAAGGACGCTCGTGATAGCTGTAGGAGGTCAGAGGAAGGCTCAGTTGCAGTCCGACTGTATTGCTTCTCCCAGTGACAAGAGTTAAGCACTCAATAGCTCCCATGCTCTCCAACCATTCAAGTGAATCTCTTCCTCCCCCCACATCAGTCTTCCACAGAGTCTAGCCTGCCCTGCCAGGCCAATCATTCCACTTCCAGCCTAACATCACAATCAGAAGACACAAAGTCAGGCATTGTCCCATCGAGAAGAACAAGAACACCCAAGGGCCACGAACTATGGTATCAGCAGAATCACACAACCGGTCTCCAAATCAAAATCAAAATACATCTGCCAAAGAAAAATCAGACTGCATTTATATTGCAGCTTTTACAGCCTCCAGACATCCCAAAGCATTCGATGACTGATGAAGTACTTCTGAAATGTAGTCACTGTTGCTATGTAAAACACAGTAGCCAATTGGCACAGCAAGCTCCCACAATAGCAATGTGGTAACCTGTATTTTAGTAATACTGGTTGACAGGTAAATATCCGTCAGGGAGAATTCTTCTACTCTTTAAAATAACGTTGTGGGATTTTTTTTACATTTAGCCAACTAGGCAGTGGGTAGAGACTTGGTTTAACATCTCATCTAAAATACAATTCCACCTACAGTGCAGCACATGCTGAGTATAGAACAGGAGTACCAGCCTGGATTACAAGCATAAGAGAGAAGCAAACAGCCTTTTGCGTTGGATGCGAGAGAGCATCTAACTCTGCTAACAGGACATGTAGCAGCTTAAGAAGTCAGTTCACCATCATCTTCATCTCCAGGGTGATTAGGAATGGGCAAAAAAATGCTGGCCTGGCCAGCAACTCCCACATTCCATGAACAAAAACAAATAAAAACCTGGTCAGCTGGTGAGACCTCTTCTAGAGTACTGCATCTAGTTTTGGCCTCCCTGCTATAGGAAGGATATTATTAAGCTGGACAGCGTTCAGAAGAGATTTACCAGGATGATGCCGGGTATGGAAGGTTTTAAAGAAGGCTGGATGGGCTGGGACTTTTTTCTCTGGAGTGTAAGAGATAGAGAGACGAACTTATGGAAGTTTATAAAATAATGAGTGGTGCAGATAGAGTTACTGGTAATTGTCCTTTCTCCAGAACAGGGAATTACAAGACTAAGGGGCATATTTTTGAGGACAGAGATTTAAAAAAAGACACAAGGGGCAATTTATCTTTTAAAAACACAGAGGAACACACGTGGAATGAATTTGGGAATAATTACAACATTTAAAAGATATTTAGATAAGTATACAGATAGGAAATGTTTGGAGGGATATGGGCCAGCAGCAAGCAGGTGGGACTAGTCTAATTTGGGATTATGTTCGACATGGACTGGTTGGACGTGCTTTACGACTTTATGGCTACGACTCTAACTACTGCCACAAAAAAAGTTTATGATCCACAGAGCAAGCACAGATGCCCAAAGGAACTCAGTATTCAGCCAGGAATCCGGCTGGCACTGTCCTCTTTAATCAAACAGTGTCCCAGCAGCCATAAGCCACCAGCCTCTTCATTCAGCACAGCCAGTCCTCATCGACTCTGCAATAGAGGCCAATTAGTCAGCACTGCTCACAGACATGCATACTGAAAAAAAAGTCAAGGTACTCTTGTGGTGCAGACGTAGTGTCCCTACCTCTGGACCATGACACCAAGGTACAAGGCCCACCTGCTCCAGAGTTGTATCATAACATTTCTGAATGGGTTGACTAGAAGACATCTTCAAAACCATATCCACTCACTGCAAAAATTGCAGTTTAATCCTGAATTGGCAGCTTTGTGTCACTTGGTATTTATTAAGCTCTCCTTGTGAGTTGCACCATTTCATAGAAGAATGCAAAGGTATAAAAGAGATTACAGAAAAGACTCACAGGAATGTTTTGGCAGTGTGGTATTTTAGAGAAACCCCACACTATTTTCCTTGATGAACTGAGAGATTTGATAGAGGTGTTCCAAATCATTAAGAGACCAGACAGAGTAGACAGGAAGAAAGCATTGCCATTGGTGGAAGTAGAGAAATTTGAAGGGTGGGGGAAGAACACTTTTTCCACACAGCAAGCAGTTAGTATTTGGTATGCACCGTCTGAGCCTGTGGTGGAGGCAGCTTCAATCAAGGCATTAAAAACGAAAAAAAATATATAGCACGACTACAGGGAAAAAGATAGGTTGCTGCTCTTCCAGAGTGCCACCATAGACACAACTAGTCAAACGGCCTCCTCCTGTGCCATAACCGTTCTATAGGTCTGTGCATTGTGTCAGGAGCCTTTCCATAAGAGCCTATCCCACACAAGACTTACTAAGGGAACTCCAATGAGAATTAGAAATTGTCCTGTGAGGATGCAGACAAAATCCCGAACTGAATTACACATTTGTCTTTGCTCTCCAGCGTTACAATAACTAACCGATGGCAGGAAAAGCCGACAACAAATCTGCTGAGACAGTCTTCCCCAAAGCTCTTTGAAACTGTGCATGAAGACAATAAAAACTCTTATGTGCTCAATATGCCAACTCTTACCAATTCTTTCCTGCTCCATCTCCACTTGGCAACAGCCGAGACCTCTGACCTTTAGCCCGGCAGCACAACACAAATGACCTTTGTCCACACCCCTTCAGCACGAACGTCGCAAACATTCGTGTCACGGCTTTTCAGTGGCGACGATTTATGTTATTTATGTCGTTTGTAAAAAGATGGGGAAGACGCAGACTTTTCTAGGTATTCTCTGCCACTAACAAAGATGGCGGACGTGCTTCCTCCCTTTGGGGCCGTGCTGATGGATAACTGCCGTCACTAACAAAGATGGCCGACGAGGTTCCCCTGAAATGTAATTATCAGCATTCGACACTAACAAAGATGGTCGACGACGGGTTTTTCTGCCAGTCTTTTCAATGGTGATCGGGTATTTTGACGTGACCTGCCACTATCAAAGATGGCAGCACGCACCGAGGGTGCAACCATGGCATCCCTGGAAGGCTCTAATTTATGTCCCCTCCCTTTTGACACAAAATAAAAATAGAAAATAGCTTTTATAGAAATACTGGAGCGATTCAGGGGGAGATAAATTCTTTATTTATAGAAATTTATTTCAAATAGATGGCAAAGCTACAGAAAACGGGGGAACGTTCTTTGACGTCATCGAAACGTGACGTCACTGGCGCGCGCCGTTGTTTTCATTTTTGTCCCTTTTTGGCGCAACGTTGGATAGAGGAGAAGATTGTCGGGATTATTGCATTAAATCGGAGAATTGTTGGGCGAAAGAGGGAATAATGACTCTGTTCCCGTCCGCCCTCAGTGAGGAGGAAGAAGCTTTGCAGAAGAAATATGCCAAACTCAAAAAGAAGGTGAGTGGAGGCCCGGTGATTTTCATGGCAATAATTATCTTATAATTAATTATCCTGCAGGTCCAGTGATCACTATGGCAACTGTGCAGGCCAGAGGGATAATTATTATCTCGTTTAATTATTCTGCAGATTCAGTGATCACCATGGGAACAGTCCAGGCCAGGGGCACAATTATCGACTCGTATTTACTTATCCTGTAGGTCCAGTGATCACCATGGCAATGGTGCAGGCCCAGGGGGATAGTTATTTTCTTCTAGTTACTTACACTCTAGGTCCAATGATCAACATGGCATTAGTCCAGATCGGAGAGGGAAGGATTGTATTGACCTGTCCTGGGTTGCTAACCGTCCAGGACTATCTTGGACTCCCTTTGAATTATTAGATTAGTCTCTCAGTTGCTGTTGCAAGCAAAAATCTACTATCCATACAACATATTGTCTATTTGTTTTCTTTGCAACCTTTTCCTTCACATTGTATGAATGAGATGAAATTCATGGTGGTGGGGAATTGACTGGGAAGGCCATTAGAAGGTGAGAATGTCATGTATAATCAAATCTTCAAGATTAAGTACAACTAGAGTTTGACAACACTGTAATTGGCTGTGAAATGCGTTGGGATATGATGAGGTTGGGAATGGTGCCATAGAAGTACAAATCTTATATCAAGCCATAGTGGATTGTATGGATGGATGGAGGGAGTGAATTGCCTTTGCATTTCCCTACCAAAAACGAATGATTTCTTTGTTTCCTTAAATGTTACTGAAATGGAATCAGTTATGACATCTGGCTCTGATTGTTCCAGAGCTGAGTTCTTTCTGACTGTGTGATTTTCCTTGCAGAAAAAGGCATTGATGGCTTTGAAGAAACAGAGTTCAGCAGCTCAGACCAACCAGGGTGGAATTAAACGATGTGAGTATACCAGTGTGCTGGAGCAATTTCCTTGGTTGATATCGTGAGGATGGGTGAGGGGAGGTGGCATGTTGCAGTTAGCTCTAGGTTAGAGAGGGAAGTATTAACCTAATAGGCATTCTGTGCTATGATGCCCAGATGTGGCCATCCAATAAGGCTAGCATCTGGCTTAGTGCATTGCCCACTGTGGTTAATCATCTGCCCTGCTGACTCTCTGGGCTAGGGTTTAATGGTCCCTTTGTCAATATGCTGGTGCTGCTGTACTTATTTACTGTACCTCTCTCAGCAATCCTTCATGTGAGTGACTTTTTAATAATGAGGGAAAAGCTGTAAGGCTTTGACTTTTTTACATCCAGTCAAAGTTGTTGATCTAATGTTGACAGAAGCTTTCTGATTCGCCAACTTCCCTCACTATGTTCAGTTTAAATGAGATGTTTTCATTTTACAGACTAGCGCAATGACAGATTGACAAAGGGAGATAATTAAGGCCAAGTGTAATCTACAGGTGAAATGGGATTGAGACTAATTCAAATAAAGAGTTTATAATTCAGGTTGCCATGATGTGGAGGTGCCAGTGTTGGACTGGGTGGACAAAGTCAGAAATCACACGACACCAGGTTATAGTCCAACAGGTTTATTTGAAATGACAAGCTTTCGGAGTGCTGCTCCTTCGTCAGGTGAAGTGACTTTCCCTGATGAAAGTGCAATGTTCCAAAAGCTTGTGATTTCAAATAAAACTGCTGGACTGTAACCTGGCATTGTGTAACTTCTGACAAAATTCATGTTCTTCTGTTTTTTAAAAATACTTGTAAATATATATTAAAAAGTATTCTTTGCTAATGAGGGAGAAATGTTTCGAAGTATTTTGTTTTCCATTCACCAGCACAAATGCAAGAATGCAAAATTTCAAATTATTTCAATGTATAATATAGGAGAAAATGGTGTTATTTCATTGGCAAACAACTCTATTTGGCCAAGGTGTTGCCTTGAAAAAAGCAACAAAAGGCTGGTTTGTATAAAGGGAACATTTGTGACATATATGTGGATCTATCACAGACAGATTCAAGAGAACTTATAATGGGGAATAGAGAAAAACAGATAAGCTAAATGATTACTTTATCTTTGATTCCACTGAGGAAGATGCAAGAGATCTTATTAGAATCCAGAGTTAGAGGTCTGAGTGACTGGGGGGAATGAGGACTAAAGGAAATTTATAATAGCGTGAGGGTTTGCTGGAGAAATTAATGGTCCTGAATGTTGACAAGTCCCTGGGACTTGATAGTTTGCATCCCAGAGTGCTGAGAAAGATGGCTGTAGAGGTAGTCACTGCATTGGTAATCATTTTCCAAAATTCTGTAGATTCTGAGATGATTCCTCCTAGCAAATGTCACCCCACTATTTAAGAAAGGAGCGAAAGAGAAAACAGAAAACTACTGACCTGTTAATATTACATCAGCACTAGAAAAATACTAGAATCTATTATTTAGGGTGTGATAAATGAACACTTGGGTATTACTGATCTGATTGGGCATAATAGGCATGGATTTGTGAATGGGAAATCATATTTTAAAAACTTCTTGGAACTTATAGCCTTATATCTCTTTTGTGCAGCTCTTTCTGATCAACCCATCATTGACACTGCTACAGCAACAGAGCAGGCAAAGATGCTGGTGAAATCTGGAGCTATCAGTGCTATCAAGGCAGAAAACAAGAACTCTGGTTTTAAACGGTCCCGAACATTGGAAGGGAAACTAAAGGTGAGGAGAAAAGACTGGTCTTCTAATAGTAATCCCCCCTCTTCCTTACTGGCATAACTAATCAGCTGTTTGTGAGGCACAATGTCTGTCACTGTGGTGATAATAGCCAGTTCTTGTGCTCTTGCATTAGATATTTTAATCCACTTTAGCCTCAAGAACAGTCCTGAGAAGGTATCGTCACTGTCTCCGTTGAGGATTGGTTTCCCAAACAGAATTCCCTGATAGAGACCCACTAATGAAGGCCAGTTTCCCTCATGGGGCCCTGGGTCCAATTCGCTTTCACTTGCACCAAATAGATGGCTGGACGCTTCCCTCTCTGATGTAACATTTGCCCCGCGAATGGGGCCTTTGCCCAGCTAGGAAGCAGAGCATGCCTTTACCTGTTTAGCATGTAGACCATTGTAGCATGCCAATGGTTTGAATAGCTAACATCTGCCATTGCATTGAAGCCTATTGAATGTGCCCCATTCAACAACCTGGTTTCGTTGAAGGCTGACTCCTTGTGGGAGTCGCAGTAATTATGTGTTTTTGACACTGGTGATCCCGTTTGTAACTGTGTGCTGTAGAGAATACAGATGGTGAAACCAGTTGTGGGCTGTAGCAAAGCAAGTACAGTAAAAAATATGTTGCTCAGTTTACTGGGTTGCTGATTCACTCTGACCTGTCACCCAGAACTGCTTTGATATCTACAAATATTTGGGGACAGGCAGAAGGACATTAGGCCCAACAAGTTCATCCCTACCCTCCAGCTTCTCGTTATGTCACTGTACTCTATTTCGTTAGAGGCTAATTCAATTATTTCTCAGCTATTTTTAAGGTTCGCTTTACAGCTACTGGCGCCCAGAGCTCTCTGGGTGAACGTGTTCGACCTGATCCCCCAGCTTATCCCTGAATTCCTGACTTTTACTCGTGCATCCTTGGTCACAGGATAGTTCCCCACAGTGAACAATTTACCTGGATACTTCTGATGAAGGCAGTCGCAGTTATCTTAATCCTTCCTCTTAACTCAATCTCTGTCTATGGACCATAGACTGCTGCAGCAATCCTTTTGTTTCTCTTGCTGGCTGCAGATTGTGACTGAGTGGAAGGAGTCTGAGCTGCTGCTGGAGTGTTTGACGCTCGGGGAGGCGATGGCCCAGTGGTATTATCACTGGACAGTTAATCCTGAGACCCTGACAATGATCTGGGGACCTGTGTTTGAATCCTGCTGGGGTAGATGGTAGAATTTGAATTCAATTTAAAAAAAATCTGGAATTAAGAGTCTAATGATGACCATGGATCCATTGTCGATTGTCAGAAAAACCCATGTGGTTCACTAATGTCCTTTAAGGAAGGAAACTGGTCTAATGAAAATATCTAATGTAGGACCACAAGAACTGGCTGTTTTCACTGTGCCTCACAAACAACTGATTAGTTATGCCAGTAAGAATGAGGGGGGTACTATAAGAGGACCAGTCCTTATCTGGTCTGGCCTACCTCTGACTCCAGACCCACAGCAACGTGGTTGACTCTTATCTGCCCAATGGGCAATAGATGCTGCCTAGCCAGCGACACCCACATTCTATGAATGAATACAGAAAAGAAAAATACCCTAGGACTGAATGAAATGGCAAAATCCTCAGCACATCTGTCTGACTGACTAACTCAAGCTGCTTTATCTCTGCAGGATCCTGAGAAGGGGCCAACCCCTTCATTCCAGCCTTTTCAACGGAGCGTCTCTGCTGATGATGACAACTTGGAGGTCAGTTCATAATCGAGCGTCTTGTTACTGCAGGTGTTTAATTAGGGGGATGTAGTGGTTAGAAGCAGGTATATTGTACCCTCTGGGACCTGGGGTTAATGACAGCGAATGATAATAGATGTTTAAACATGCCCTGCCTGGACAGTATTCAAGTGAATAAATTGCTTGCACCTTATAAAACCTGTCTATTTCTCATTCGGTGAAATCATTAGGCTGAAAGTGATTAGGATTACATAAAGGACCTGCTCCAGTAGATTACTGAGCCATCAGCAGACACTAAAATCAACTTACATATGATTTGATAGAGATATGTCATCTCAGATTATACCCTCACACTTCCATAGGGAGTTCAAAGAAATGAACATCTGACCCAGAAGCCATGATGTTACTGACTGATCTGACCTTTCTCCACACATGTTCATATGAAAGAGAGAGTTTCCATAAGCCTATTCTCCTCTCCTATTTGCTGAAATGGAATGCTGTCACCTCGCTTGGAAGAAGGCAGCTCCAACAACTCTCAAAAAGCTTGGCACAAACCAGGACATAGCAACCCATTTGATCAACACCACATACAACTTAAACATTTACCCCTACACCACCAAAACACTGGGATAGAAATGGGTACTATCCACGAGATGCTGTGCAGCCAATCACTGAGCCTCCTTTACAGCACCTTTCAAACCCGTGACCATTACAAGCTAAAAGGGAAAAGGCATTAGATACATGAGAAAATCACCATCTAAAAGTTCTCCACACATCATCTTTATTTGGAACTGTGTCACTGTTCCTCCGCTGTCATTGGGTTAAAATCCTGGAATTCCCATCCTACCAGCACTTTGGGGTGCATCTACGCATATGGGCTGCAGCGATTCATGAAGAAAGCTCACAACCGTCTTCTCAAGGGCAATTAGGAATGGAAGTAAATGTTAATTTGCTGTGAATAAATAATTAATAACAAAATACTTAATTGCAAATGGGATAATGTAAACAATTATAGCTTCCCTCAGTATTGGGAATGAATTTACTGAACCACCTTATTGCTTGAAAGACAGTGCCCTTGTCCGACTGTTCACATTCAAAGCATCAGACTTATTTTCAGCAAAGAAAAGAGAACATAGAACATAAGAACATAAGAACTAGGAGCAGGAGTAGGCCGTCTGGCCCTTCGAGCCTGCTCCGCCATTCAATAAGATCATGGCTGATCCTTTCGTGGACTCAGATCCATTTACCCGCGTTCTCACCGTATCCCTTAATTCCTTTATTGTTCAAAAAAAATCTACCTTTTTTTTAAAAACATTTACTGAAGTAGTGTCAACTACTTCACTGGGCAAGGAATTCCATAGATTAACAACCCTCTGGGTGAAGAAATTCCTTCTCAGTTCAGTCCTAAATCTGCTCCCTCTAATCTTGAGGCTATGCCCTCTTGTCCTAGCTTCACCTGCCAGTGGAAACATCCTCTCTACTTCTATCTTATCTATTCCCTTCATAATTTTATATGTTTCTATAAGATCCCCCCTCAATCTTCTGAATTCCAACGAATATAATCCCAATCTACTCAGTCTCTCCTCATAAGCCAACCCCCTCAACTCCGGAATCAACCTAGTGAACCTCCTTTGCATCCCCTCCAGTGCCAGTACATCCTTTCTCAAGTAAGGAGACCAAAACTGCACACAGCACTCCAGGTGTGGCCTCACCAGCACCTTGTACAGCTGCAACATAACCTCTCTGCTTTTTATTTCAATCCCTTTAGCAATGAAGGACAAAATTCCATTTGCCTTCCTAATTACTTGTTGTACCTGCAGACCTACCTTCTGTGATTCATGCACAAGGACACCCAGGTCCCTCTGCATAGCAGCATGCTGCAACTTTTTACCATTCAAGTAATAATCCTTTTTACTATTACTCCTACCAAAATGTATGACTTCACATTTATTTACATTGTATTCCATCTGCCAGACCTTTGCCCACTCACTCAATGTATCTATGTTCCTCTGCAAAGTTTCACAGTCCTCTGCACACTTTGTTTTGCCACTCATCTTAGTGTCATCTGCAAACTTTGACACCCTACACGTGGTCCCCAACTCCAAATCATCTATATAAATTGTAAATAATTGCGGTCCCAACACCGATCCCTGAGGCACACCACTAGTCACTGACTGCCAGCTAGAATAGCACTCATTTATCCCCACTCTTTGCTTCCTGTTAGTCAACCAATCCTCTATCCATGCTAATACTTTACCCTTAATGCCATGCATCCTTATCTTATGCAATAGCCATTTGTGCGGCACCTTGTCAAAGGCCTTTTGGAAGTCTAGGTACACCACATCCACTGGGTTCCCATTGTCCACCTCGCTCGTAATGTCTTCATAGAATTCCAAAAGATTTGTCAAGCATGACCTGCCCTTCATGAACCCATGCTGCATCTGCCCAACGGGACAATTTCTATCAAGATGCCTTGCTATTTCTTCCTTGATAATAGACTGAAGCATCTTCCCCACTACAGAGGTTAAGCTAACCGGTCTATAATTCCCCATCTTTTGTTTACTTCCCTTTTTAAACAGTGGCGTCACATTTGCTGTTTTCCAATCTGCTGGGACTGCCCCAGAGTCCAGCGAATTTTGGAAAATTACCGCCAGTGCACTTGCTATTTCTCCTGCCATCTCTTTTAGTACGCTGGGATGCATTCCATCAGGGCCAGGAGACTTATCAATCCTTAGCTCCATTAGCTTGCCCAACACTACCTCTTCCGTAATTATGATTGTTTCCAGGTCCTCACCTACCTTCGTCTCTTTGTCAATTACTGGCATGTTATTAGTGTCCTCCACTGTGAAGACCGATACAAAATACCTGTCCAATGCCTCGGCCATTCCATCATATCCCATAACTAAATTCCCCTTCTCATGCTCTAAAGGGCCAACGTTTACTTTAGCCACTCTTTTTCGTTTTATATATTTATAGAAACTTTTCCTATCTGTCTTTATATTCTGTGCTAGTTTTTTCCTCATGTTCTATCTTACTTTTCCTTATAGCTCTTTTTGTGGATTATACATCCCTTGGTATAATTATTAGCAATCATAACGTGTACACATACATGAATAGCTTCAATTATGACGTGTAAATTTTTTGGAAGTTTAGTTTAGTAATTGCTCGGCTGAGGATCTGATGAATTCAAATATGTGAAGGATCTTGGAAATCATTCTGTCTCGCTATCTTTCTATCTTACTCACTTACTCTTCCACACACATGCACATGCAGGCACTTACCAGCCAACACTGGATCTATATTCTCAAGACTTTAGAAGATCGAGTGATAGACTCATTTGAAGCATACAAAATTATTTCAAAAACTGACTGATTTGATGAAAATTGACATTTCCTGTATCATTGGGGGAGTAGGTGGAATCTAGAACATGGAATAAGAGAGAGGCAATTTAGCATTCAGTGAACAGGAATTCTTCATTCTGAGAGTGGTGAATGTTTGGAATTCTCTACCCAATACAGCTGTGTCAAAAAACTCGATCATTGAGAAATCAAATTGTATGAGGATGATATGAGAAGATGCATTGAGGTAGAAAATCAGCCGTGATCTAATCGAACGGCAAAGCAAGAACAAAGGATTAAATGACCGACTCCTGCTTCTGTTTTCTGTGTTTCTGGTCAGAATAATAAGCAATTTCTGCTGTCAACGATACAGTTGGAGAGATGTTTGGTGAGAGGCATGTTTGTTTACCTCTGATACCTGGCCTCCAAGAAGAACCATCATTAGATTTTGATTTTTCATCTCTCCTTGCCATGACCTAGTGAATTTGGCAGGGATGGAAACTTGCTCAATGACTATGAATCTTCCCACCATTATCAATTTCCCAGTGGGAAAATATGAAAGTAAAAAAATGTGGAGTGGTGTGGGTGGAGCATTCCAGCTAACTTAAAATGGAAGTAGTCTGGCCTCTGCTATTTTTCTAATCATTTGTCCCGATGGCTGTTGCTCAAGTAGCTGTGTGCCAGCTCTGTTGCACGTGCTGATGAGGGAAGCTGGTGTCCCAATGGTAATGCCCATGATTTCTCAACTGCATAGGCCTATCCAGACTTTCCAGCATGAATAAATCAGGTCCTGCAAATATAACCTAGACAAACAGGAGGCTGGAGGAACACAGCAAGCTAGGCAGCATCTGGAGGAAAGGAGAACTCAACGTTTCAGGTACTACCCTTCTCCAGTCCTGAAGAAGGGTAATACTTGAAACATTGACTTCTGCTTTTCTCCAGATGCTGCCTGGCTAGCTGTGTTCTCCCAGCCTCCTGTTTGTCTACCTTGGATTCCAGCATCCAGTTTTTTTATCAGAGATAGTAGGAACTGCAGATGCTGGAGAATCCGAGACAACAAGGTGCAGGGCTGGATGAACACAGCAGGCCAAGCAGCATCATAGGAGCAGAGAGGCTGTTGACGTTTCGGGCCTAGACCCTTCATCAGAAAAGGGGGAGGGGAAGGGGGTTTTGAAATAAATAGGGAGAGAGTGGGAGGCGGATAGAAGAGGGATAGAGGAGAGGATAGGTGGAGAGGAAACAAACAGGTCGAAGAGGCGGGGATGGAGCCAGTAAAGGTGAGTGTAGGTAGGGAGTTAGGAAGGGGATAGGTCAGTCCAGGGAGGACGGACAGGTCAAGGGGGCGGGATGAGGTTGGTCGGTAGGAGATGGAGGTGCGGCTTGAGGTGGGAGGAGGGGATAGGTGGGAGGAAGAACAGGTTAGGGAGGCAGGGACGAGCTGGACTGGTTTTGGGATGCGGTAGGGGGACGGGAGATTTTGAAACTTGTGAAATCCACATTGATACCATTGGGCTGCAGGGTTCCCAAGCGGAATATGAGTTGCTGTTCCTGCAACCTTCGGGTGGCATCGTTGTGGCACTGCAGGAGGCCCAGGATGGACATGTCGTCTGAGGAATGGGAGGGGGAGTTGAAATGGTTCGCGACTGGGAGGTGCAGTTGTTTGTTGCGAACCGAGCGTAGGTGTTCTGCAAAGCGGTCCCCGAGTCTCCGCTTGGTTTCCCCGATGTAGACGAAGCCACACCGGGTACAGCGGATGCAGTATACCACATTGGCAGATGTGCAGGTGAACATCTGCTTGATGTGGAAAGTCTTCTTGGGGCCTGGGATGGGGGTGAGGGAGGAGGTATGGGGGCAGGTGCCTCTCTGCTCCTATGATGCTGCTTGGCCTGCTGTGTTCATCCAGCCCTGCACCTTGTTGTCTCCAGTTTTTTTATGTCCGTGCATGTATTTCACTGCAGGGCTGAAGTTGATCCTCACGTGAACAAATGTAAGTACTGCTTCTACCTCCTCTACATCTACGCTCTCCAAATCTTGCAAGATTTTCCCATTTTCCAAAGATTCTCCGCTCCAGAGTGTCCAACCCAAAGAGAGATGACTGGATTAGTCACTGATTATTTATTTATTTACAGGTTGCCCTGTTTGATGGTCTTTTACTGTCATAGCAATATGTTGTGTTTTCCTTTGCTGTGTTCCACTGCTGATCGGTGCATCTTGATCTCCTAGGTCTGTAAGCGTCCACAGAGGAAGAGTCTTTATGAAAGGTACTTGTTTTTTTTTCCATCATCGAATTATTTAATCATCTGAGTTGCTGGTCACTAAAGCTTTACCCTTTACCTATTAATGACTGACAAACAAATGTCTCTTCTGCTCTCTATCTGAGAATGATTTCTGCAGGCCATACGAGCCGCTGACACAGGGCCTGCTGGGTACAACCTTTGGCCCACAAATGACGACAGCTTGCATTTATGTGGCACCTCATCCAAAAGCTCCAACACATGACCAAAGAAAGCTTAATGCTATTCCACAAAAGGGGATATCAAGGCCGATCATCAACAGCTTTGTCAAAGTGCTAGATTTTTAGGAGTGTCTCAAAAGGTGAAAGTGAGGAAGAGAAATGAAAACGTTTAGCGAGGCAGCTCCAGAGCTCGGTGCCCACGTAGCTAAAGTCACGGCTCATCATGAGGATGATGGACAAGGACATTAAAATTGAGTGTGCCAAGAAACCGGAATTGAAGAAGTGCAGTGATCTCAGAAGCCTTGGAATTGGAGCAGATTTCAAAGACTGGGAGGGGTGAAGCCGTGAAGAGATTTGAAAACAGGGATGGCAATTTTTAAATTGAGGCATTTCTTAGCCCGAATCTAACATAGACCAATGAGCACAGGGATGATTGGGTAATGGCACTTAGTATGAGTAAGGACATGGGCAGCAGAATTTCGAATGAGCTCACTTTTAGTGTCAAAGGGGAGTTAACAGCGAGGACTGCAGAGGAATACTCAAGTCCACAAGTATCACAAAGGCATGAGGGATGACGATTTGAGCAACAGATGTGTTGGAAGAGACACGGAATCAGGTGATATTCCAGAAGTGAAAATAGGTGGCCTTGATGGTGTGGATATGTGGCTGGAGGCTGACTTGATGTCAGATATATTACCATATTCCTGAGCAGACTGAGTCAGTCTCATACAGTTGCCAGGGAGAGGATGGCATTGGTGTCTAGAGAACCGAGTTTGTATCAGGGGCCAAAGACCATAGCTTCATCCATCGTGCATTTAGTTCTGAGAAGGTTTCTGCTCATTCAGTGCTGGCTGTCGGACAAGCAGTCTTATAGTTTAAAGTCTTACAGTTTAGGAAAGGTAGGGGTGAGGTAACACTGAGGGTTGTTTGTATACACATATAATCTGGTGGAGAGTTTTAGAGTTATATACATCCAAAAGCGACTCTTGTACCTGCTTTTATCATGTTTCAGACAGCGCATTTCAGACAGTAAAACCTTGTGTAAAAAAAGAAACTGTTCTCCTCATCTCACCTTTTGGTTCTTTTGCCAATTCTCTTTAATCATTCCTTGAATACAAACGGCATCTTTAGCAATGTTTGTTGCCTAGAAATGAAAAACAGCAATCTACTGCCATATAAAACCTTGAGTACTGTGTCCATTTCAATCTCTATAAGCGAAAGATTTTTGAACAGTAAAGGAGTTAAGGGTTATGGTGAGCAGCTGGGTAAGTGGAGCTGAATCTGTGAAAAGGATCAGAAATGATCTAATTGAATGGCGGAGCAGGCTCCATGAGCCAGATGGCCTACTCCTGCTCCTATTTCTTATGGTCTTATGATGTAGAGGAACTGGAGATGGTGCAAATAAGGGTGGTACCATAACTGAGAGGTTATAACCACCAGGAAAAATGGAACAGGCTCGGGATTCTCCTCAAAAAGGTGGAAGTCATAACTGAGGTCTTTACAATTGCGGGTTTCAATTGGGTAGATGTAGAGAAGGCCTACATGCGTAAGTTAGTGACTAGTTCATCTACTAGAGAAAGTGACAAGAATATGGAGTTCATTACCACAGGGACAAGTGGAGGTAAATGGTATAGACATATTACAGGAAAACTAGGTAAGCATGAGGGCAAAAGGAGTATACTGATGGGATTAGACGATGAAGGGTGGGTGGAAGCTCATATGAACAAACGTCTGAATGAGGACCACATGCCTCCCTAATTAACCTTTGATAACGTGGCTGAACAAGAACCTATTCACCTCCACTTTTAAAAATGTTCAATCATCCAGTCTCCGTCTTCTTTTAAGGAAGAGAGTTCCAAAATTTACCTCGGGAAAATAAATTCCCCTCATTCCTGTCCTAAAAAGGCGACCCTTAATTTTAATCTTGTGTCTGCTGACACCATGAACCGATGATGAATGCTGACTGTGCATATACACCTCCAATTTCTTCACACTGACAATTTTTAAAAAATAAAAAATTCTACTTTGTTTAATGCTTTCTTACTTTATCAGTATACTCTTTCATTTATTTGTTTTTTTTTTCATTTTTATATGTTTGTTTGGTTTTATCACTTTTTGTTTAAATTCATTTGAAATGTGTTGCTGCTACTGCACGTGCTTCTGAATGTTAGCAAACCGGCCAATATTTAAATAGTGTCCCCTCGTTCTAGATTGATACACATCCTTTCCGTGTTCACCTTGTCGAGACAATTCAGGATTTTATACACTTAAATCAAGTCATCCCTCAAGTATGTAAACTTGGAATAAGCACAGTCTCTGCAACTATTCCTCATAAGACAGCCATGGATCATATGAATGGGCTTTTCCTGTGATGTGCATTCTGTCTAAACAGATGCTGTTAGAAATCCCTGATGTCAGCTCGAGGCTAGGAGTTTGTTTGGAAACATTATGCCGTGACTCAGCAGAGTCCATCATGAAATCAGTTACTGCCTCTTATTTATAGGAATTTTTTGCATCAGTAATAAAGTAGCTGCTGTAATGCTAGGCTTAAGACATCAAAGTCTTGTAGATCTTTCTCATAAGAGCCCTTAGCTCTGCTCACACTTTCTCAGTCACAAGTTGTTCAACTAAAACCACAATTACACAAAAACAGCATATCTTTTGATGCTTGCTAAATATTCTATGGAACTCTTTGTCTCCTGGCTAGGCAATGCTGTGACCTTGCTTACAGATCCCTCAAGGCTTTAGCATTCCCTATATCTGTAACCATGTCTGGGCTCACAGCCTTCCACGATAAGGCGCTTCTCGAATTCTGGTCTCCTGAGTTTCCCAATTATAATGACTCCATCATTGGTAGCCATATTTTCAGTTGTCAAGGCTCCACGATCTGGGATTGTTTTGCTACAGTTCTCTGACAGTATGTCACTTTTCATCTTTAAGCCACTTCTTGAAACCTACCTCTAATGACCAACTACTTCTTCACATGGTTCAGTTTCACTTTACCTTCGCCTTGGGTGTTTGTTCTATTAAAACTGCTACATAAATGAGATGTTTTTGAAAACTTTCAGTTGTATATAGATTCTGATGAAGCTGTTATTTTTCCTTCAGTTGTCAGTGCACAGCTATTAGGGAGGTGGTGAAGAAGCTTCATTGATTACCAAAGCTTTTTGTGGTTTGTCCTCAGCTTTGTGAGCTCCAGTGACCGTGAGAAAGATCGAGAGGAGGAACGTGAATCAGGAATGGAGCTGGATCGCGACAGCTACAGGGACGTTGAGCGGGATCTCGACCGTGGAAGAGACCGTGACAAAGGCCGAGATAGGGACCGAGACCGAGATAGGGACCGAGACCGAGACCGAGACAGGGACCGAGACCGGGAACGGGACCGAGAGCGGGACCGAGATAGAGATAGGGACCGAGACCGGGATCGGGATAGAGATCGCGACCGAGATCGTGACCGAGACCGTGATCGGGATCGCGACAGGGATAGAGACCGAGACCGTGGCAGGGACAGGGACCGAGATCGGGACAGAGACCGGGATCGGGATCGGGATCGGGACCGGGACCGGGACCGTGATGGCTCTTATAGAAGTAAGTGTAATTTCTTTCTCCCATTGCTATGTTCACTTTGCCTGCCTGGATTCTTCCAGGTGACCATTCTATAAGCATGGTTAGATTGAGAACCCAGAGCGGTTTACTTTGCTTCCCCACAAAGCCCCTCACTCCCACCTTTACCTGTGGGATACTGAAGTCTTTTCCCAATGCTTCTCAGTTCCGTGCAGGTTATCTGTGTGCGATTTATTTTAATTAGTTGTTTGCGTACTAGTCTCTCCGGACCAGGCTTAATGAAAGTGTTTGTTGTTCTATCACCTGCTTCCCGGGAAAATCGCATTGTCTGTTTACCAGGCTCTTCCTCATGGACTGAGTCATAAGAAATAGGAGCAGGTGCTGGCCGAACACCCCTTGAAACTGCTCTACCGTTCATCTATTGGATTGAAGAGGTTCACAAAGATTCACCATGCTGTCAAAGATAATTGGGAGAGTTAATCTTTACCTCAACTCCACTTTCTTGCCCGATTCCCACATGTTGAGACTTAAAGCTCGTGAATTTGTTAATATCAGTTTTGAATATACCCAATTATTGATCATTGACAACCATGCAGAGTGAAGAACTCTGAAGATTCACAGCCCTTTCAATGAAGATGCTCTCCTATCTCAGTTCTAAACGGCTGATCCCTTATTCTGAGACTGCGTCCCCATGATTCAAATTCCCCAGTTTTCTCGGCATCTTCCCTGTCAAGCCCCTGAAGCGTTTTCTCTGTTTAAAGAGAGTGCCTCTTATTCTTCTAAACTCCAGAGAATATAACCACAGATTTCCATCACGCAGTATGGGGGAATCAGTCTTCCAAAAAGAATCTGATAAAGTTTCACCCCAATGGTTATTGATGGAAATAAAGTTCATGCTGAAGGGAGTAGCATATTGGCATGGATTGGTTGCCTCGCAGGAAACAGAGTAGGTATAGAGTCATAGAGATCTACAGCATTTTAAAAAAGAAAGGCTCTTCAAACCATCAAAATGGGTTGTTTCAGGTTTGGCAAGATGTAATGTATGTCACAGGGATCAGTACTAGGTCCTGTACTGTTCACAATGTTTATAAATGACTTAGATGAAGTGACAGAAGGTATAGTTACCAACTTTGCTGATGATGCAAAATTAGGTGATAAATAAATTGTGGAAATGGCAAAGGGATATAGGTAAGTGAGTGAGGAAAGATATGGCAAATGGAGCGGAACTTGAGAAAATGTGGAATTATCCATTTTAGTAGGAAAAGTAAGTGCCTTATCTAAATGCTGTGAGGTTGCAGAGCTCTGAGTTGCAGAGTGATCTAGGTGTTCTAGTTCATGAATTACAAAAGGTTAGTACACAGATATAGCAAGCCATAAGAAACTCTTTTTAAGAAAATAATATCATTTATAAAGTGATGACTGTATGGTTGCCAAATTTGTGGTGACACAAAGATTGATAGGAAAGTAAGTTGTGAAGAAGATATATGAAGGATACAAAAAGATGTAGGATCAGTGAGTGGACAAAGGTATGGCAAATAGAATATAACGTGGGGAAATGTGAAAGTGTCCATTTTGGCAGTAAGAATTTAAACAAAAAAGCACTTTTCTAAATGATATGAGATTGTAGAACTAAGATACATAGAAATCTGGGTGTCTCAGCCCATGAATCAGTAAAAGTTAGTTTCAAGGCACGCATATAATCAGGACAGCTAATAGGTTGTTTATACTTGTTGTAAGGGAATTGAATTAAAAAAGTAGATGATACTACTTCAGCTGTACAGAGCACTGGTCAGACCTCATCTGGAGTACTTTGTACAGTATTGATCACCTTATTTAAGGAAATGTGTAAATGCATTGGAAGCAGTTCTGAGATTTACCCAGATTGATGCCTAAAATGGGTGAATTATCTTATGAAGAATGGTTGGATAAGCTGGACTTTTATCCACTGGAATTTAGGAGAGGAAGTGGCGACTTGATTGGAACATATTAATCCTGAGGGACCTTGACAGGTTGAATTTTGAGAACTAGGGCGTCACCGTTTAAAAATAAGGGTCACCCGTTTAAAACAGAGATGAGACTAAACTTTTCCTCTGGAGGTCATGAATCTGTGGAACTCTCTTTCAAAAAGAACAAAAACACAAAATTGCTGGAAATGCTCAGTGGGTCTGGCAGCATCAGTGAAGAAAAAAAATCAGAGTTAATGTTTTGAGTCCGGTGACCCTTCCTCAGAACTCACCGGACCCAAAACGTTAACTCTGATTATTTTTTCTTCACAGATGCTGCAAAACCTGCTGAGCATTTCCAGCAACTTCTGTTTTTGTTCCTGATTTACAGCATCTGCAGATCTTTCGGTTCTCTTTCAAAAAGGTTTTGTAAGCAGAATCTTTGAATATTTTAAAATTGGAGGTGGGGAGATTCTTGTTAACAAGGGGGTGAAAAGTTTTCAGTATAGTTGGGAACATGGATTTGAGATTGCAATCAGATCAGCCAAGATCTTATGAAATGGTTGCACAGTGGGGACAGTCATTGTGAACGTGAAGAATGGGTGAAAAAATGTTTTTACTCTGTGCCTCAACTGGAATGCTGCTTCTCCCGCAGGATATGACTCTTTCCGTGCACCCCGGAAAGGAAACACCATCTATGTGCATGGCATGGGGATGACTGAGGAAATGCTGAGGAGTTCCTTCTCCAATTTTGGGACCATCGTCAACCTGACCATGGATAGCCCCAGGAAGTGAGTGGTGATATAGTCAGCTCTGTGCTTGGCAAACTCTCTCAATGCTTCTATACCGGAAGTCAGTGATGTAGTGGTAATGATGCTGGACTGGTTATCCAGAGTCACAAAATCACACAACATGGAAACAGACCTTTCTATCCAACATGTCCATGCCAACCATGTTCCCAAACCAAACTGGTCCCACTTGCCTGCATTTGGCCCATATCCATCCAAACCTTTCCTGTTCATGTACTTATACAAATATCTTTTAAATGTTGTAACTGTACCTGCATCCACTACTTCCTCTGGCATTCATTCCACATCTCAACCACTCTCTGTGTAAAAAAAGGTTGCTACTCATGTCCTTTCTAAATCTTTTTCCTCTCATCTTAAAAATATGCCTCCTAGTTTTGAACTACCCCACCATAGGGAAAATACCCTTGCTATTCACCTTATCTATGCCCCTCATGATGTTATTATCCTCTATAAGGTCACCCCTCAACCTCCTAAGGACCAGTGAGAAAAGTTCCTGCCTATCTTCATAACTCAAACCTTCCATTCCCAGCAACATCCTGGTAAATCTTTTCTGAGCCCTCAACAGTTTAATAATATCCTTCTTGTAGCAGAGTGGCTGGAACTGTACACAGTCTTCCAGAAGAGGCGTCATCATCATCATCCTGTACAACCTCAACATGACACCTCAGATCCTATACTCAAAGGTCCGAACAATGAAAGCAAGCGTGCTAAATAATTTCTTAACCATCCTGTCTACATGTGATGCAAATTTCAAAGAATTATGTACCTGAACCCCTGGGTCTTTCTGTTCTACAACATTACCCAGGGCCCTACCATTAATTATATAAGTTTCTTGTTTGTGTTACCCAGCTGCAAAACCTCACATTTATCCAAATTAAATTCCTTCTGCCACTCCTCAGCCCTTTGACCCAATTGATCAAGATCTCTTTGTAATCTTAGATAACCTCCTGCACTGTCCATAATATTAACCAATTTTCTTGTCATCCACACACCTACTAACCATGTCTCCTAAATTCTGATCAAAATGGTTTGTACAAATGACAAACAAAAGTGGATCCAGTACTGTTCCCGAGGTTATGGTGATACAGCTTCAGATTCCATCGCGACAGTTATTGGACTATAAGTTGAAGTGGTAAATCTGGAACTTAAATTTCATGTCAGTAATGGTTCTTGTGAAACAATAATTGATTCTTGTAAAAATCTATCTGATTCACTAATATGTTTCATATATAAATCTATAATGTTAAATTATATAGATATTTAATACATTTTAGGAAAGTAAATCTCTCATCCTTATCTAGTCTGAACTTCATATGACTCCAGACCCACAACATTGCAGTTGACTCTAAATTGCCCTTTTGTCTGAAAGAACTCTTGTAAAGTACCTTTGGATATTTTAAAGTGTCCATGGCACCACCTAAATACAAATTATTGATTCGACAAGAACAAGATCCAAATGACCCCATCTCCACAGACAACATGCTGAAGCTACTGGACCTGTGCCTCACCACCCACTTCATCTTTAATGGCCAAATATATGAATAGATCAACGGGACACCCAAGGGATCACCTATCACTGGACTAATAGCTGAAGCAGTGATGCAGAGACTTGAATACATGGCCTTTCCACTAATCCAACTGAAACTATGGATACGATATGTGGACAACACCTTCATAATTATTAAAAGGACCAAACCAGAGGAGACACACAAACTAATAAACAACACCCTCACCGGGATCAGATTCACCAGGGAAGAGGAAAATAACAAACCGCTCCCATTCCTGGACGTCATGGTGAAATTCAGGACCAATGGGGAATTCCTAACAAAGGTACACAGGCAAGCCACACACACTGAGCAAGTACTGAATTTCAGTAGCAGCCACCCTAACACACACAAACGAAGTTGCGTGAGAACACTATTTAAACGGGCAACAACACACTGCAGCAACACAGAACTACGCCAAAAAGAAGAAGAGAACCTCCTCCAAGTACTCAAAGACAGCGGATACCCGAAAATCTGGATCGGAAGATGCCTATTACACGAACAACACCAGGCGGGTATTGCATGCCCTGACACAATCATCTCGCTTCCTTACATCAGGAACAAATCTGAACTAACCACAAGACTCCTAAGACCACAGGGCATCAGAGTTGCACACAAACCCACATCAACCCTACGCCAACTGCTAACCCGAACCAAAGACCCTGTACCCACTATGGACAGGACCAATGTCATATACAAGATTCCCTGCAAAGACTGCGACAAACATTACATTGGACAGACAGGAAGGAAATTAACCACAAGAGTACATGAACATCAACTGGCAACAAAAAGACACGACCAGTACTCACTCATCTCCATCCACATGGATAAGGAAAACCACCAGTTCAATTGGGACAATACCAGGATCCTGGGATAGGCGAAGCAGAGACAAGCAAGGGAATTCCTAGAAGCCTGGTTCTCCACTAAGAAAGCCATCAATAAACACAGAGCTAGACCCCATATACGCTCCATTGCAAAGGAAAACTGGAAGTGAGGTAACCCAGCTCAACCGACACCAGAGTTTAAATAACAGGCGGGAAAACACAACAACGCTTCATCAGAGGCTGCACTGATGATGTTACCCATCAGGGTAATGAAACATCTGCGGAACAACAAACCAGCTCGGCGAGCTATCCAACCACAACATCCACAACCCGAGCTACAAATCTACTCTAAAATCGTAAAGACGACCGTAAAATCGTAGAATCCCTACAGTGTGGAAACAGGCCATTCAGCCCATCGAGTACACACCAACCCTCTGAAGAGCATCCCTCAGGCCTCTCCTCTCTGTCCCTGTAACCCTGGCTAATCCACCTAGCCTGCATGTATGTGGGAGGAAACCGGAGCACCTGGAGGAAAGCCACGCAGACAGGGGGAGAATGTGCAAAGTCCACACAGTCGTCCGAGAGTGGAATCGAACATAGCTCCCTGGTACTGTGAAGCAGCAGTGCTGACCACGGGGCCACCATGGCCTCTTTCTGTTAAAATATTGCTAATTTTAATGGTCAATTCAGCTGTGATAAATAAGGAAAGTCAACTGATGTATACAGTCCAATCCTTCAGTAAGTAGGTGGCCACGCGTTCAGGCTACTTCTAGATAGGTTTTGATCCCTCTACAATTTAAGGTAGTTATTCAAATATTCCAGCTCCTTGTGACTATGGCTTAATATGCTCTTTACAAATCAGTGGCTGAGCAGTCAATTTCAAACATATATAGAAAAACCTATCTTTATTTTTATTGCCCTCCAATTCTTCCAGTAGTTTTACTGATTATGGTGCTTTACACCATTTCAACAATGCATTTTAAATAATAGTGATTCCGAAAATGCTGGTTGAAATTAGGATGTTTTACCCTTGGCATTCCGGACTCACCCTGGGAATGTATATCAAGCAGTTTCCCAAGCAGATTTTAGCAGTTGGAGATTTTTGTGGTTAGACCATAAGACCATAGTCTATAGGAGCAGATTTAGGCCATTTGGCTCATTGAGTCTGCACTGTTCGATAATGGCTGATATGTTTTCTCGACCCCATTCTCCTACCTTCTCTCTATAACCCTTGATCCTCTTACTAATCAAGAACCTTTTCATCTCTTGTCTTCAATACATTCAATCACTTGTCATCTGTGGCAGTGAGTTCACCCTTTAATCACCCTTTGGCTGAAAAAATTCCTCCTCATCTGAGTTTTCAAGGGTTTTCCCTTCAGTCAGAGGCTTCTTTGCCGACTTGCTTAGCATGTACAAGTCCTTCTGTGACCTCCCTGCTTCATCAACACTACTTGTCCCTCCACCTATCTTTCTGTCATCTCTGGCCAACTCCTCCCTCATGTCTTTGTAGCTACCTTTGCTAATTGTAAAACCATTACATCTGATTCCGGCTTCTCCCGTTCAAACTGCATGGGGAAGTCCATGGTCACTGGCCCCTAGGAGCTCCTTCATCTTCAGCTCCCTAATCGAGTCTACCCCACTGCACGTCACAAAATCAGAATCGCCTGTTCCCTAGTGGGCTGTACCACAAACTGTTCCAAAAAAAACCATCTCGTCCTGTTCTTGGCTTGTTTGCTGATATGCTCTGAAGCATGTCACCCTTTCTGTGTTAATCTAATGTGACATAGAGGCTGCAGGGCTCTAGGCAAGAGCAGGGTGAGTGGGACTCATTGCTTTGCTGTCAGGAATTGTTTACTTAAACTTGGTTGTCCAAATAGCTTCCTTCTCATAAGAAACAGGAGTAGGAGTAGGCCATTCAGCTCATCAAGTTTGCTCTACTATTCAGTATGATTGTAGCTGCTTTTATGAGGCCCTGATTTCATCTTGCTGTGCTGTTCTTCCACCCCCCCACCCCACCACCCCTGACTTCCTTACCAATCAAGAATCTGTCTTACCTCAGCCACAAATATTTTCAATGCCTTGGCCTGCTCTGCTCACTGGGGAAGAAAATTCCAAAGACTGATGATCCTCCGAGAGAAGAAATTTCTCTTCCTCTGTCTTAAATTGAGAGCCCTTACTGTGATTTGATCCTCCCAAATTCTAGTCGACACGCGCGCACACGCACACACACACACATACACATATCCTGTCAGAATCCATCCAGACAAGGCCCCTCAGAATCTTTATGTTTCAATAAGATCACTCAAATTTCCCACGGAGGGAACGGCACAGTGGCTCAGTGGTGAGCACTGCTGCCTCACAGCACAGGGACCCAGGCTCGATTCCACCCTCAAGCAACTGTCTGTGTAGAGTTTGCATGTTCTCCTGGTCTGCACGGATGCTCCGGTTCCTCCCATAGTCCAAAGATGTGCAGGTTAGGTGGATTGGCTATGCTTAATTGCTCATAGTGTCCAGGGGTGTGCAGGCTAGGTGGGTTAGCCACAGTTAATGTGACAGTACAGGGATGGGGTAGGGGGGGTGGTGTATCTACATCTGGATGGACTGGTCTTTGAAGGCTCATTGTGCACTCAATAGGCTGAATGGCCTGCTTCCATACTGTAGAAATTCTATGATTCTTCTATACTCCAATGAATATGGACCCAAACTACCCAAAAGAATTGCAGATGCTGGAAATCAGAAACAAAAACAGAAATTGCTGGAAAAGCTCAGCAGGTCTGGCAGCATCTGTGGAGAGAACTCAGAATTAAAGTTATGGATCCAGTGTCTCTTCCTCAGAACCCATGAGGAATATTGGCCCAACTAGCTCAATCTTTCCTCACCCTAACCATCAGCCTTCTTTGTACTACCTGCAGTACAAGTAAGGAGATCAAAACTGGGTTCAGCAATGTCATGTACAGCTGTAGCAAAACCTCCGTACTTTTGTATTGCTGTGATAAAGAGGGATGATGGTTAATTTGACCCCATCTAAAACACTTAGCTTTCGACAACCTGTAATTCTTCAACACTGTAGAGCACAGATCCCCCTTCCACCACAAGCTGGGGCCCATAAGTGAAGAACGATTAGATTGGAGACATTATCACTAATAATGTGGTTTGCATGTAACCAGCAGAGCAGTTTACAATGGCATGTTAGCCCAGAGAGTGCAGCTGGGCTCCAGACCTATTACATGATCTCACCTGGGTGTTCTGGAGCAACCCTCTGTTCAGTCTGGCTGCTGCCTGGTCCCGCTCAGCAGTGACCTGTCTGACTGGGAGGCCTAGCTTTTGGAATCCAGCCCATCTTATCTATTTCTCCCCATTCCCTGCTCCCAAGGCATCCATCCAGCTGATCCATACGTTGCCAGGGTTCCTACAGTGTTTGTGATGCTGCTGATGCTTTTGCACACCAGCTATGCTATACTGATCTGCACCCATCTGTTTATTACAGCTGTGCATTTGTCACTTTTGAGACAATGGAGTCTGCAGATCAGGCGATTGCAGAGGTAAGGAACAGATCAGAGAGATGCAATGAGGCTAGTGTGTGAATTGATTCTTGTACCATGCTCCTGAGTGTTTGGGTTTTTGTGTAATGTCTCATGTTCATTCCTGTTACTGTGCATATGTAGCATTTCACTCCAATTCCTGTAAATGTGAATGAATAGGAATGTACACATGTAAGAGATATTTTGGTCTGTTAGTTACTGTGTATGTGTGTCTCATGTTTCACTACAATTCCTGGTATTCTTCAAGTCCATTCTGAGGTGTTTTTTTCTCTCCATAACAGCTAGATGGCAGCATGGTTGGAGCTGTTTGCTTGAAGGTGATGATTGCTCGTAAACAGCTAATGCTGGAAACAGCCACAGGGAAGTCGGTTTGGGGGAGCCTAGGTAGGAGAACTTTGCAAGTTCATATTCCGGGCAGAGTCTGTGATTGTGTTAATGATGTCATGGTTCATGTCTCTGTAACAGGCTACTGAGGTGAAACAATGAGTGTGTGTTTTGGGTTGATGGCTGTCAGTAATTCATACCTCGCAAAAATGTTGTTCCCCTTGAAAATACTATTGCCTTGTTAACGAGAGTTCAAAGCTGACAGTCAAATATGTCTCGCAACTTGATCCTATTATTGTGTTCAACCAAGTCTTTGTATGTTGTGGCTCATAGACATTGCCTGTCTTGGAATAATTATCATTCTTATTAAGCCTTTCGCTCGTAGCTGGAGATGTAGCCACAGTCGATCACAGGACCGGGAGGAGGCCATTGAGCCCCTTTAGCCTCTTTTACCATTCAGTGAGGTTGTAGCTGATCTAACTTCATAGGCCTGCCTTTGCCCTGTGTCTCTTAATATCTCTGGTCAAGGAAAATCTAACATCTACTATCATTTGGGGAAGAAGCGTTCCAAAATTCTGCCACTTTTCGCCAAAATATTTCCAATTTCACTACCTAGCAATCTGCCTCTAGTATTTAATCCCTACTCCCAGATTTCCCAACTGCAGGAATAATTTCCCTCTATCTTCCCTATCTGCAGTCCTCAATATCTTGAAAATTTGAGGTGGAGATGATGGCGTAGTGGCGATATCACTAGACTGCTAATCCAGAGGACCAGATTAATGTTCTGCAGACATGGATTGAAATGGGCTCAGATCCCACCATGAGAACATGGGCAATTTGTGTTCAAGGGCCTGTTTCCATGCTGAGATGTCTGAAACTCTATGACAACTAGTGGAATTTAAATACAATGAGTAAATCATGAATATAAATCTATTGTTGTAAAATCCCATCTGATTCACTGATGTCATTTTATCAAAGGAAATCTGTCGTCCTAAATATGACTAGATCCACAGAAACACTGAAATGCTCCCTGAAGGGCTTAACGAAGCACTTTAATTTAAGCAAAACAAATACTGGCCTTTCCAGTGTTGCCTACATCCTATAAAAAGAATAAACAATTAAATTCCAAGTAATCAGGCATCAGTTTGTACAATATTGTCATGCAGCAGTTTGGTCCTCATTCCATCAATTCTAAATCAAACACTTCAATCTTTATGGGCCTCTAGTTATGCACACTCTCCTAGAATCCATTCAGTTTTAGTAAGAACACTCCCATCCCGCCTAAAAATGAGATTGTGCCTACAGATGCCAACTTGAAACATATCATCCTGACCTGATTGTCCAACTTGACTGACTACTTTAGGCCTGTTGCAAACGAGCATTAATTACACACTTGCTGCATTTTTGCAGAGGCTAAAGAGGACAGTGAGCTAAATTGTACCCCGACTACTTAAACACCAAAGCATCCTGTGGATGAACAATATTAGCCATTTCATTACTTCTAGCTGCAGTATTAATCGACGAGCCAAGGTGGATCATTCACTTGGCACTTCAACTGAAGGTCGTTACATGTCCCTCAGACTTATCTTTTACATAGGTGTGCTAAGCACCCTCAGCATTGAAGATGCATATCTTTGTGGAGTCTCTTTCTGCAGTGTATTTTTTAATTCTCCATCACCATTCAGGTAGATGTGGCAAACTGCAGAATTGAGGCCTGATGCATTAGTTGCAGACTCACTTAGACTTGTCTGTTATTTGCTGTCTATGCTGTTTGACATACAATTAGTCCTGTATTATAGCTTCACCATTGGCGGGTCAATTTTAGGCATCCATGGTGCTGCTCCTGCTCGCACTTCTGCACTCGCTATTGAATTAAAGTTAATCTCCATGCTCGATGGTAATGGTAGAGTAGAGCATATGCTGAGCCTTGAAATTATAGATTATGGTTGAATACAATTCTGCTCTTGTTGATTACTCACAGTGCCTCATGTATGCCTAGTTTTGAGATGCTAGATCTGTTTGAAATCCGTCCCACTCCATTTAGTGTGGTGGTAGTGCCATTCAACACTGTGAAGAGCTTCCTCAGTCTGAAGTTGGGACTTTGTCCCCACAAGACCTGTGCATTGATCACTCTTTCTTATACTACTGTGGACAGATAGATCTGCAGCAGACAGATTGTTAAGGGTGAAGCCTTGATGTTTCCTTCACCTCCTGCTGCGGTCTGGCAGCAATGTCCTTTAGGGCTTGACAGGGGCATGCTCCTGGGAGATTGTGCTCCCCTGCCCAACCCAACCCCCATCCCACCTGATCTGTGGTAAAATAAGCAGTTAGATGTGATATACCCATTTGGGCAGGTAGACAGAACTGATGAAGGTAACATTCTGTCAAAAAGAAATATGATCTGTAGGTTTAGCACTCCCCAGCATTAGTTAGGGAATCCAGATGTGGCCAAACATAAGTAATTAAAGTAATTGAGCAATAGAAGCTGTCATTAGGATCCTAATCACAACATCATTGTGGGAATGAGGATATGCAGTTTAACCTGTATGTTTTTTGTTATGTGCCGAGATAAAGAGCAGAATGTGACTGTTTATTATTGACATGACTATATTAATGCCCTGATCAATGAATGGCAGTGGGTGCTTGTTCAAGAAATGTATACACCTGTGAATTATATTTACATGTATCACGTGAGCATGTGGAAAATTAATGTATTTGGCAAAATCACTGTCGGGCTGGTGAACCATTTCTGTTGAGCAAAGCTGGTCAAGAGCAGTAGCACGTTTGGTAATGCAACACTGAGCCTAAACCACCTGGATTCTACCCTCATGTCCCTTAGTGGGAATTGAATGCCTGTTATGCTCCTCTGTCTCAAGAGTGAAAGCACTGGACCAAGCTAAGCTTCAGGAGCGTACAGGCCTTCAGGAAAGGCAGGGAGCCAAATGTAGTTAGTGGGTTTGGAGTGTGTTATGGGGTGGGGATGTTCATGGTGACAGAATGGAAATGATAATCGCCCAATCACCCTACTCTAACAGAAGCATTTCTTTTGTCCTCAGCGGTCCAGAACAGCGCCAAAGGTTCACACCGTGACAAACGTAGCCAGGTGGTGTACAATGAGGATTTCCTGAGATAACACGGGGAGAATGCACCCAGCAAAAGAAATGTGAAGAGAATGAACGACTCCAAGCCGTACCTCTTGGGAGAAAGTGGCTCACCCACCTCCTCTGTTTTTGTATGGCCCCAACCTTTGCTAATATTATGCAAAAGAAATTTTAAAGAGAGTCACATTTAAATATGGCACAGAACTTGAGTAGTGTTGCTGAAAACAGAAATGCTGTTGAAGATTTTTGTCTTGCCCTCATGAGGACAATCATACTAGAATGCCCTGTTTCAAAGCACAAACAATTTATACTGAATGAACAAGATACTGATAGATTGTCCAGTAGACTCTGAATGGTTCAGGCATTGCTATGGAGAATACACCAGGAATGACTATCCCCCAAGTTTTTCTTTAAATTTCGTGAAAGCAAGCCAATTCTGATTGGTCAAGGCATTGCCATGGGGAACGCTTCCAGCAATTGTTGTCCCACGTGCTTTAGTTTAATTGAAAAATACACAGAACCTCACCTGTTTTGTTCTGTTTGCAGAGATTGGGAACTTGGTTATCAACATATGTAGCTTCAAGCAAATGCAAGGAATTGTAAACTCAACTGAAGATCTTAAGTTACTTCTTAATGTTGTTCTCAGTACATTTATGTTTCTTCAAAAAAAGTGGCGCCCTACCATGGAATAATACCTAATGTTGAATATTGTGTTCTGAGTTTTGCAAGCATGGATCGAGGGGTGCAGTTGGTTAAGTGTGGTCAGAACTTCTTTTTTGTAAACAGCTGAAAGAACTTGTTGTTTGACACAATCACCAGTGGTTGGGAGATCTGGCCTGCTTAATGTGCATGTTCAAAAAGTGTAGCATATGTCCCAACAATAACGGATTATATCAAACTCCCATTTAGCCTGCTCACAACAGGCAGGATACTGACCAGAGTACTTGATCAGCCTGTGCTGAGATTACGTAAATCAGATTTTCAATGTGACTCACTAATGCTTGCCAGAAGCTACAAAGATTCATGAGCAGGGCCCTTCTACAGGCAAAATAAAATCTGGTCAGGCAATGGAATTTCAGTTAAACCAAAGAATGACAGACGGTGACTCCCTGCTGCTTTCCAATAGCAATGCCTCAAGCAAACAGAGTGAACTTGCTTTGATTGAATTTAAGCAAAACCTTGGAAGGTAACTGTTCCCTGGTGCATTCTGAATGGCTACACCTCAATCAGACTTTACTTGCCAACTGATACCCTTTTCTCATGCAGTTTATATTGTTGTTCCCTTTAAAATGCGGCATTCTTGTGTCTGGCCTGATGAGTGTAAGATGAAAATGTTTAGCAGCATATCTCTTTCTAAGCAAATACTGGAGTAGCAAATGCTAAGAGTCAATCTTTGCATGTCCAGTCTGCGTGTTTCAAGAGTGGGCCTGGAAACACCCATCCTCTTTCTTCATCTGACTTGAGAGCAGGATAGTGCTGCCTGGCTTCTGAAAACCCGACCAGCTCTGATTGGCCAGTCAGTTCCACTGTCACCCACTACAGTCCAGCTTTAACAAATATAGGAAATGTTCTTTGTGCTTACCAATCGTCTCCTTGTTCATCGACCTTGGCCATTGGGAATGGGCTCTTTTCGAGAGCTTTTTAGCCTCTCCTGATGAGTTTAATCTTTCAGTCGTGGTATTATCTTTGAGAATTGCATTTTAGAGATTCTACCAGTGCCACCCTTTCCTTTATTTTCTGTCATCAAGTCCGACTGTATGGATACCTGTGCTCCTAACTGGATCCCAACAGGGGTTAAGTTATCGGTTGAATCGGGGAATTTGTGCTGCACCCCCTCCAGGCCTAGCATATTCCTCCTGTGAGTGTTCTAGTGTTGGTGGTACCTGTGCCAGGAGTGTGGGGAGCTAGCAGCATTAGTGCCTACGAATCCCGTAAAATATGACTGGATAGTAAATACAGGGATCACGTCAAGGTAGGGGATGAGTTTCAGATGTGGTTTTAGTAGGTGAATGGGTGATCTGAATGTCACACTATATAAGCACATGCGCAGGCTTTTATTCCTCAGGTAGTTTGATTCCACCATTCTTGTGGCTAGTCATTCTGAGAGTTCATGCAGCTTTGTGCGCGAAACTCATTTTCTCACTGAATTGGTGTACTGATGTTCGGAAAGAATGCTTTTCAGTGGCGAGAGGGGGCATGCAACACTGAGACTAGTTCAGGTGCCCAGCTAGCAAACCAGTATCCCATCCTCGGTACATACTGCATTGGTTGTATCACTGCAATCCAATATAGGTTGAGAAGAAGAATTTTGTCTTTGGGAGGGTGAGGGTGGTCTGATTGCACTTGAGGCAGAAGGAGGTTGGGATCGAGCCTAATTCTGTGTGTTTCACACTGCCCACTCCTATCTCCATCCCCTGCTACCATCCTTACCCCTACCCTAAACCAAAAGTGGCAGATATTCCATCAGGTGCCCATTAATCTTTCAGTGTTGGCAGAAGAAACATACAGTACGTAACAGGGCCACTGTCACAAAACGAAGTAACCATTTGCAAATTTGGGACCTTGCTTGGAATGCTTGAAGTTCCCAAAAAACATCCAATTGTAAATATTGCATCATTTGTTTTTATTAAAATAACTGTTAGAATATTCTACTTGATTGTGTAGTTTGTTGTGTAAGGGCCGAATGGGTAAATGCAGCAATTTTGCATCTATTTTCCATTGTGGATGCTCTTTAACTGAGCTTTAGGAATGACCACTGTGGATAGTATAGAACTCTGAGCTGGCAATGTTAATGCTTATCTGGATGTGTGCAGCTGTTAATGTTTGAGCATCTTGCCACTGTGTAGGACAATGCAAACCCTCTTGATTGGGACCTTCCCAACATATGAAATAGTTATTCTGTCCACCACTAGTGTGTACCATGTACAAGATGTACTTCAGCAACTTGCCACTCCACCTTGGACAGCAATTTTCAAGCCTACTACATACCCCATCCTACATGGTAACATACACATGAGAATAATATTATCTGCAAGTTTCCTTCAAGCCACACAGCCAACTGACTTGGAACGATATCGCCGTTCCCTTACTGTTCCTGGATCAAACACCTTGAGCTCCCTAACTGTACTGGGATGTATCAACACCATAAGGGCTAAAGCAGTTCAGGAAAACATCCCGCTACAGTGTTCCCAAATGTACTTAGGGTTGGACAATAAGTGCAAGGCCTTGGCTTGTGATGCTCACATCCCAAACGTGATTGCACAGCATTGAGAACTGGTACAGATCAAACTTGCCCAGTGGCTGGTACAAATGTCAAAGTGTTAAAAGTTTCCAGCTGAAGGCACATGGTAACCAATGGTGAAAAGATGAAAATCAGGGATGTGAAAGAGTTTAGAATTGGAGGAGCACAAAGATCACGCTGAAAATCCAGTTCATACTCTGTTAATGCAGCATATAATAATTCCTTACGTGTAGTTCAATTGCGATATAGGTACCAATACTCAAATCAGGGGTTCACAAGTATGTTGATTGCTCATGAGCCTCGGTAAGATGAAGCCAAAGTTCCCAAGGAGCTACAAGATTTTGTAAACTTCATGGGCTTATTTACATTGGGCAAATGTAGATAGGATCTTGGCATCACTTTCAGTGCCTATGCTGCTGATATGTGAATGTGTTTAGTAATTGACCGCTGTCATTTGTTTTGCGAGCCCATTAATGTTTCGACTGGTTGGTTATAGCCAAGATAGTTAATACCCTGTATTCGGAATCTTACCCCTTCTCAGTACAATACACCCATAATTCATATATTAATTACTCCCTGTATGTTTGTCACTGATTTACTGTATGCCTGTTTTATTATTTACCTTCCCAAAATGTGTCAGATACTGCTGCCCTTCAGATTTTTAAAATATGGCTTTATCAGTGTCCAATTCTCTGCTACATTTATGCTTACGTCCCCTCTTTCGACACTCCAAATTAACGTTTTTCTCCAAAATGATCCTTCATTAAATAATTCTGGATAATTTGCATTGCTGATCTGAATAATTACTAGATGTACTTTATCAATAGCCTGTTGTTAGCTTTCTGCTAGTTATTTTGTTGAGGTCAGTGACTGTCCTTGCTCTTATACAAGCCCAGGGAATACATGATAAATTGTAGGACCCTGGGAAACACTGAGGATCAGAGGACCTTCGTGTGCATGTACACCAATCCCTTAATGTAGCACACAGGTAGATGAAATGATTAAGAAGGCATTTGGGATATTTGCCTTTATCAGCCAAGGTACAGAGTGTAAGAGCAGGGAAGTTATGCTGGAACTGTCTAAAACGTTAGACAGGCCATAGCTAGAGTATTGTGTGCAGTTCTGGAATCCACATTTTAAGAGGGATGTGCTTGCACTGGAGAGGGTGCAGAGGAGATTTACCAAGGTGTTGCCAGAGTCTTAGTTATGAAGAGGGATTCGATAGACTGGGCGAAAAACTAAAAGAGCTGCAGATGCTGAGCTGTGAAGAAGGGTCACTGGACCCGAAATGTTAATTCTGCTTTCTCTCCACAGATGCTGGCAAACCTGCTGAGTTTTTTTCAGCAATTTCTGTGTTTATTTGTGTTAGACAGACTGGGGTTGTTTTAATTAGAGGGTAGGAGACTGAGAGGGTCATAATTGAGATAAATATAATTATGACAGGTGGAGATAGGGTAGACAGGAAAAAACCTTTTTGTTAAAAGCAGTGATTTGACTAGTAGTAATGACTTAGACCCATGTGCTGAAAGACCCAGTGATATCTATGCTCTTTGTTTTTGTAGTGTTGGGCAGCCTGTGTAGTTGACTTACCAGCATACTCAAAGTCTTTTCAGAGGTTCATAGAATCCATACAGTATGGAATCAGGCCCTTTGGCCCATCAACCACACTGACCCTCTGAAGAGCATCCTACCCAGGCCCATTCCCTGACCGTGTCCCTGCGTTTCCCATGGCTAATCCACCTAGCCCGCACACCCTGGACACTATGGGCAATTTAGCCTGGCCAATCCACCTAACCTGCACATCTTTGGACTGTGGGAGGAAACCCAAGCAGACACTGGGAGAATGTGCGAGCTCCACGCATACAGTCACCAAGGGTGGAATTGAACTCAGGTCCCTGCTGCCATGAAGTGGCATTGCTAACCACTGAGCCACCATGTCACCCCTTCGCTTGCTAGGTTCGCTTGCTTCTTTTGAAAAAGAGGTGAGCGCAATTTGCCCAGGACTGTAAGATGCTATAGAAGGTTGTTTGCACAGCCCAGACCATCAGGGAAGCTAAGTTCCCATCCATGGACTCCATTCACATGTCTGCTTGCTGCGGAAAGGCTGCCAACATCATCGAAGACTCATCCCATCCCAGTAATGCTTTCCCAAAACCTCTTCTGTCAGGCAGAAGATACAGAAGCTAGAACACATGCGCCAGCAAGTTCAAGAACAACTTCTCTGCCATTATTAGACCAATGAATGGACTCTGTAACTTCAAATAATGTTGATCTTGTTAATGTTGTTCTGGCTTCCTGCATGTCCTGTGCAGTGTAACCTGTATGCCTCAGTCTGCCCTAATTTTTTCATCCTATGATCTGTATGTCCTTGCTTACTATGATCTGCCTGTACTGCTCAAAAACAAAGTTTTTCACTGTATTTAGGTACGTGTGACAATAAATCAAATCAATCAATTAGGACTGGTCATTAAGTTAGGGTCTTGGCAATGGTCTCTACGGCATGACCACTGCTATTGGCACAAATCTGGATACTGTGATCACTTGAAATTTACAGAAAACCAAGAAAGAATTGATTCACCTGGACAGCCATGAAATGGGTGACTTGCGCAATGTAAACCTGTCGATCGCTATTTGTGATTCACCGATTGCCATTTGTCACTGTGAAGGAATGCAATTGGTAAGTATCCATTCAAATTACATCTTAGAAAGAAAAAGCCCTTCAAGCTGTATGTCTTCACAATCAGCATTGCATTTTGACAGAAAGCAGGGAGGATATAATTATGTATAATCTTTGTAAAAACCTAGCTAGGTGAAGTCCACTACCATGACCGGTTTCAGATCATCGAAAGGCACAATTCATTTTTATTTAAAACTCCCGGCAATAATACAGAAAAGCTCGTCCTGATTTAAAACCAAACATGTTTAAAGCCTACACCTTTCAGTACAAATCAAGCCTAATTTGATTCTTTTGCTTGTTTCCCCACAACTGTTAATAATCATCTTTTCAACAAACCAACCGATTAATTTTAAAAGAAGTTATGGATTATGCTTCAAATATGGTTCATAAAATAGAGTCTTCATTCTAATTATCTTCACTGTAAAGAATTTCTAATTCATTTTCTGAAATCTTGAATGCTGTCTCTTTTAATCACCTTACCAGAATCCACTTCAGGATTGCTTGACCACTTTTTTTCTTGGTAATTGGAAGGGATTTTTTTTGGGTGCGGGTGGGAGGTTTGTGATGAGGAGAAGACTGTTTACAACACTGAGGGGAAGAGGCTGTGATTTGGGGAACAGCCTCAGACACACATGATGAGCGCAATATTGGAGTAACTGATTGACTGAGCTACAGTCAGAGTAGGGACATTTATCTCCCCAAATGAAATGACTGATGTTAGTTCCACTCGTAATATTCCTGAATGAAAAAATTGGCCCCAAACTGTCAGCCCTTCCCCTGTTATCAGCATTAAAGACTGCATAATTCTTGTCTGGAATTGTTTCATTCAAAGATTTGAAATTACGTTGCTGTTCGATTTTGATGGTTGACAAGAGACAGTCCCAGTCAAATGATGATAACCCAGCAACAGGAAAGGTTTAGGAGACTCCTCTCCCATTCAATTGTCACGTAATTTCTTATAGTCCTTGGGCATCCATTTCATCCTGACATATCTGATATATTTGGCTGGCTTTCGATCCCAGCAATACTCGGGAGATAAGAGCTTGGCAGGTTTGTGATCCAGAAAGTAACGGTTCAAGTGGCTCTCGTCATGCCAGATCGCCTCGACACCTCTGCTTTTATCTCTGATGATCCCATCGAGGCAGCTCCTAGTCAGGTTGAAAACCATGTCAGGTGTGCCTCCGAAAACAGCAGCGTGATAATAGAAGTCTCCCTCATCTGATGCAATGTAAGCTGCTGAGTTCGGTCTACGCTCATAGGTGAATTGGTTGCGGCTGGCAGTGAGGAATGCAGAGTGGATCTGAGCGATCGAGTCTGCCAAAGCTTCCGTCCCAAAGCGCCCCACAAAGACCTGGTCGACATCAAAGCAGAAGAGGTAGGTGACCTCAAAACGGATCTTATCCTGGATAAGGTCGTTGATTTGCTGCATCCGCATCATGCTGATGTCCTGCCAGCGCGATTGTTTGGGAACATTGATCACGTTCATGGTCCGTCCCGGAGACATCTTCAAGGCAGGGACTTTGCTGTCATTGTCTACCATCACGTAGTAGATCACCTGGAATCCTGTCATGAAGTGCTGCTCTGCCGACTCCAAGAAATCCTTCAGATACCTGTCAACGTATCTGATGGGGAGGACAACAAAGGTCAAAAATTCTTCCAATCCTAAAGGTGTCTCTAAAAACTACATTTTTGTTCTTTATCCTGCTTCAGATGACATTGACAGAAAGTAGTCAATTTCAAATTCTCACTTGGAATGAGCAGAGGTCAAATTTCCATAGGTGAGCATGAAGTGTGTGGGATAGGTCATTTCACCTATCAAAAGACAACTGGGTGAATATTTTCAGGATTAGGATGTGTGTCAGGATTAGGGTAGCACTGGAATTCGTTTTATTTGTTTGTTCGTAAGAGTTAGGAATCATGACACAAGGATCTGGAGAAAGCAGGACAGTGGACTGGTGCATTACTTTTCCATGCTGTATAACTCTATGACTCGATGACTATGGGGAGAGGACATAATTGTGAGATTAGTTTGGGATTCTTACTATGGGGAGACTACAGGGCAATAGGATTAATTTGGGATTGGCACAGGGTTGTGGGGAATATGGCAGCTGCAGAATTAAGTTGGGATTGAGACAAGGTTATTGGGCAATAGGAGAGCAGTGGGACTAATTTAGAACTGATACAGGGCTGTGGGAAATAGGGGAGGGCACAGTGGGATTGACTTCATACTGAGCAAGGTTCTTGGGAAACAATGGGGCAGTGGAATTAATTTGGGATTGATATTCGGATACGGGTCAGATATGAATCTGTGCAGTGAGTTTTCACATTGGATCAATATTAAATTAGTTAGTTGATTAATTAGACAAATTAGAGGGTATCAGAAATGCAAATCTGACAGCTAGTCTCTCTACCTTACCGTCCAATTGCAAAAACGGTCAGGCCAATCACCACCTTCTTCTGAATGTAGAATTCATCACGTTCCACTGGGTTAAAGGTCCCTTCCCACATAATAGGAGCACCCCATGAGGTCTTTGTCTGCTGATCGGTAACAGCACTTCAAACAGAACAAAGATGTTAGCAGCCATAGTCAAGCAAGGGGTCTTCATCACAAGATATTTTCTTTTAATGCTCTCCAATGGTTTAAACTCAGGTACCAACATATTCCAAAGAAAGGTTCGCAGTGAGGGTCAGAGATTTGCCCAGCTTCTCAAAGTAAGTCATGCCATGAGCATATATTTAAAGTTGCGTCAAAGAAATTGTGAACTATTATGGTTTAGAATCTGTTTGCTCTTAAATTTGGTTGCTTTCTGTGAAGATTATCAGAAGTAGGCTATGGTGCTGGAATAGTAGTGTAGTGATAATGTCACTAGACTAGCAATCCAGAGGCATGGACAATGCTTCCACTTGTGAGGGAACATAAAATGAACTGGAGGCAGAAATGTGCAGACAAATTAGGGCACAAACCAATATAGAATAATAATCCCATGCGGCATTTCAACTACCCAGATATCAATTGAATAGAAGAGGTAGGTAAAGGGAATTAGGAAATGAAATTTCTCCAAAATGTGCAATATTTCTTTCAAAACCAATATTTAAAAACACCAACAAAGGAAGATTTGTTACTGAATCTGGTAATGATGAATGGACTGAAGCAGGTATGAGAAATATAAGCTGAGGAACATTTAAACAATAGTGGCCATAATATAATATGCTTTAAGATAGTACTAGAGAAGGACATAAGTATGATGAAAACCTGATCAGTAAAAGCTAATTTTGTGGGATTGAGAATAGAACCTGTCAAAATAAAATTGGCCAACATATCAGCAAAAAATACTGAGGGACAACAATGGAAAACATTTAAAATGGTATTCAACAGAGTGTGGGAAAAAATATTTCATTAAAACAAATGATCAAACCAACCTCTAGTCAGACTCTATGAGTAAATAACGTATAAAGGAACAACCAAGAAGAAAGCAAAAACATACATAAAATACATAGGCAGCAGAGGAGAGGATGATGAGACAATATGAAGGATTAGGATAGCAGTACAGTATGGGGCAGCATGGTGGCTCAGTGATTAGCACTGCTATCCTCACAGCACCAGGGACCCAGGTTCAATTCCAGCCTTGGGTGACTGTGTGGAATTTTTACAGTCATCCTGTGTCTGTGTGGGTTTCCTCTTGAGTGCTCTGGTTTTCTCTCCCAGGCCAAAGATGTGGATTGGCCATGGGAAATTCAGGATTACAGGAATAGGTTGGGGGTTGAACCTGGGTGGGATGCTCTTTGAAGAGTTAGTGTGGACTTGTTGGGCCAAATGGCCTGTTTCCACACTGTAGAGATTCTATGATTCACTAAAAGAAAACAGTGTTAGGAAGGCAAAGAGGAACAATTAAATTCAATCTCTTTAGTAATATATTGAATTTTTTTTTCTAGTATGTCAGTGAAAATGGAAGTATGTGATGGGAATAGGATCATAAGGGAGAGACACATTATTCCATAGATACAACAGAGAGGTGGCAGAAGTATCAAATAATTATTTTCTTTCATTTTTAATCAGGCAGATATAACCTTTGAAGATAATATTGAATGATAAAATGAGAAATGAGATAAGTGAATTTAAAATAAAGAAAGGTGTATGAAATAAACTAAACAACTCAAAGAGGATAAAGTCCTGTTCCAGGTAGATTGATTCCATATATTTTTATGTAGAACCTAGAAAAGTGATAATAAAGGCATTACTGCTCATATCTAATAATGCTTTAGATAAAGGTGCAGGAGCAGACGGTTGGTGATAGCAAATGTAATGAAATATTAACAAAAGGTGACAGAGCATGGACCAGTAAGTTTAATATAACTGGCAGGGAAGTAATGGAATCCTTCTCAAAGGAGAGAATAAAAGAACATCTAGAAAGGAGAAGTGTTATAATAATTGTCAGCATGGATTTCAAAAAGGAAAGTCCTGTTTGACCAACCTTATCTACTTTTTTTGTGGAAGTAGATGTAATTTATCTAGATTTCTAAAAGACTTTCAATCCCAAATTAGACTCACAAATAAGATCCGTGAATGTGACTAAGGGGACATGTGGAAGAATGTGGTTAGTGGCTGATTTTAAGACAGAAAGCAGAGCATGGGAGTAAAGGATAGTTATTCAGAGTGAAAGAAGTTGGGATACAATGCTCCACAAGGATCAGCTCTGGAACTGTTGCTGTTCACAATTTACCTGAATGATTTGTACTTTGAAATCAAAAACGCAACTTCTAAATTTAAAGATTGCATCAAATTGTAGAGGGCCAGGGATGTAACTAACCATAAGACCATAAGTTTCTGGGTCCACTGTTGTTTATCTTTTACATAAACAATTTGGGAGCATGGTTAGTACGTTTACAGATGACACCAAAATTGGTGGTATAGTGGAGAAGGTTATCTAAGATTACAAGGGAATTTTGATCACTTGGACTAATAGGCTGATGAGTGGCAGATCTTAATTTGGATAAATGTGAGATGTTGCATTTAAAAGGCAGGGGCTATACAGTTAATGGAGGGCACTGGGGACTGTTGTCGAAAAGGGGGGCTGAAACAGAGGATGAGAAACAGAGGATGTTGTGTCACAGATAGACTGGGTGGTTAGGAAGGTGTTGAATATGCTTGCCTTCATTGCTCTGACCATTGTGTATAGGAGTTGGGACATCATGTTGCGGTTGTTGGTGAGGCCCACATACAGTTCTGGGTGCCCTGTTATAGGAAGGATATTATTAAATTGAAGAGGGTTCAGAAAAGATTTACAATGATGTTGCAAGAATTGGAGGTTTTGATTTATAAGGAGAGGCTAGATAGACTGGGACTTTTTCTGCTGGAGCGTAGGAAGTTGAGGTGTGACCTTATTCAGGTTTATAAAATCATGAGGGGCATAGATAAGATGAATAGCAAAGATCGTTTCCTGAGGGTAGGGGAGTTCAAAAATAGGAAGCATATTTTTAAGGTGAGAGGAGAAAGATTTAAAAGGGACCTGAGGGGCAACGTTTTCACACAGAGGGTGGTTCATGTGTGGAATGAAGAGGAAGGAGTAGATGCAGATAGTTACAACATTTTTTAGATGACTTTTAGACAGGAACATGAATAAGAAAGGTTTAGAGGGATGTGGGCCAAATGCAGGCAGTGGGTCTAGTTTAGTTTGAGAAAATTGATCGGCATGGATGAGTTGGACTGAAGGGTCTGCTTCTTTGCTATATGATTCTGACTCCATGACTCTTAACAGAAGTAAGCCATTCGACCCATTGAGTCTTTTCAACCATTCAAGAGATCATATGGGATCTGATAATCCTCAACTTCACTGTCTTGCCTTTTCACTGTAACCCTTGATCCCCTTATTGAATGAAACTAATCTGCCTACCTCAGCCTTGAATATACTTAATGACCCAGTCTTGAAAGTCATCTGCCATAAAGAATTCCAATGTTTCAGTATCCTGTGAGAGAAGAAATTCCTCCTCATCTCCAACTTAAATGAGCGACTTCTCACTCTGGTCCTAGACTCTCCCGCATGGGTAAACAACCTTTCCATATCTTTCATGTCCATTCCCCTATGAATCTTAAATGTTGCAATAGGGAGTCCTATCATTGAATCTGTAAATTCCAATGACTACAAGCCCAGCTTACCCAACCTCTCCCAATAAGAAAGTCTCTCCATACCCACAATCATCCTACTGAAACTTCTCTGGATTACTTCCACTGCCCGTACATTTTTACTTTAGTAAGGGCTTCAAACCTGTTCACAATATTCTAGGTGTGGTCTGATTAGTGCCCTGTATAGTTTTAGTAAGACCTTCCAATGTTTACTTCCCATTCCCTTTGAAATAAAAGCAACAGTGCATTTGCCTTTGCTCTTAAGTGTAGAACCGGGATGCTAGCTTTTTGTGGTTCATGGACAAGAACTCCCAAATTCTGCAAATATTGATTTCTGCAATCTTTCTCCATTTAAATTATACTCAACTCATTTATTTTTCCTGCCAAAGTGCATAACCTCACATTTTCTCAAATTACATTTCACCTGCCAAGTTTTCATTCACTAACTCGACCTGTTCCTATCCCTTTGTAGACTCTTCATGTCATCCTCACTACTTGCCTTCCTACCTGTTTTTGTGTAATCAGCAAACTTAAATTTAGGCCATTTTCTTCCATCATTCAAGTGTTGAATATATAGTAAATAACGGTGTCCCCAGCACTGATCCCTATGGTGTTCCATTAGTTACAGGTTGCCATCCTGAAAATGCCTCCTTTGTCTCTGTCTTTTATTCATTAGCCAATCCTCTAACCATAAGAATTTACTCATCCCAAAGCGATCTTTATATGTATTACCATATTCAATTTCTTTTGGAAATCTAAATATATTACACCTTTTGGCACCCCTCTATCTATCCTGTTTGTCATCTTCTTAAAGAACTTAAGCTAATTTGTCAGCATGATTTCCCCTTCATGAAGCCTTACTAACTCCACTTGATTATGTTATGCATTTCTGAATGTTCTGTTGTTACATCTTTGATAATGGTAAAATTTTTCAAAATAACAGATGTAAAGCTAACTAGCCTATAGTGTTTCTTGTCCCTCCCTCCCATTTTTAATAAGGGTATTACATAGGCAGTTTTCCAATTCTCTGGGACTTGTCCAGAATTTAAAGACATTTGGAAGATTGCTACAATGCAGTCACCATCTCAGTAGCTACTTCCTTTAAAATCCCACGTTGCAACCCATCAGATCCAAAAAACTTAAAGACATTCAGCTCCAATACTCTCCCTTGTACTCTCCCCAAATCTTTAGCCACTTGATTATTTGATCTCAAAATACAACCATATTGATCGTCAATACTTGCACCATATATTAGCAAGGTCACGGCAAAACACTAAGCTTTACTTCCAGAGTCAGCTAATGCAAAAGTAGGGATGTTCTGCTAGGTCTTTGGAAAATGAATGTTGGTAAGACCACACTTACGGGTTTTATGTACAGATCTGGTTACCATATTATAGAAAGGATATGGAGACACAGGAGGAAGAATTGCTAGGCTGTGTCTATTCTTTCTTGAAAAAGGAGACTGAAGGGTGACTATATAAAGCTGTTTCATATAACAAAAAGTTTTGATAGAATGTTATAGAAAGAATGTTTCCTCTTGTAGGGAGATAGAGGCCATCAATACAAAATGGTCACCAGTAAACCTAATAGGAAATTCAGAAGAATTTGTTTACCCAAAGAGCGATGAGAATGTGGACCAGAAAAAGTAAGAAGAAGCTAGACAGACGGAAGAGAAAGAAGGGAGTAAATAATTACAGTAGATCCAGATCATAAAACTTGGAGGAGGTTTCAATAGAAAGTGGCCTGTTTTTTGTGTGTACGTTCTATGTATGTAATAAAATGATTTCCAGGACTTTTGACATCTCAAAGCACTTTACAGCCAGTTAAGTATTTTGCTGTAGAATGGGGAACACGGCTTCCAGCATTTTTCGTTTAGTCCTTCATGGAATTGTGAATATTGCTGGCCAATTCAGCATTTGTTGCCTATCCTTAAATGTCTTTGACAAGGTAGCAGTGGTGAATTTCTGCATATCCGATACACAGTAGTGTGATAATGGCTAACGTCCGTCTGCAAAAAAAACCCTGAGCTTCCAGTTGAACATAGAACATAGAACATTACAGTGCAGTACAGGCCCTTCGGCCCTCAATGTTGCGCCGACCTGTGAAACCAATCTGAAGCCCATCTAACCTACACTATTTCATTATCATCCATATGTTTATCCAATGACCATTTAAATGCCCTTAAAGTTGGCGAGTCTAATACTGTTGCATGCAGGGCATTCCAAGCCCTTACTACTCTCTGAGTAAAGAACCTACCTCTGACATCTGTCCTATATCTATCACCCCTCAATTTAAAGCTATGTCCCCTTGTGCTAGCCATCACCATCTGAGGAAAAAGGGTCTCACTGTCCACCCTATCTAATCCTCTGATCATCTTGTATGTCTCTATTAAGTCACCTCTTAATCTTCTTCTCTCTAACGAAAACAGCCTCAAGTCCCTCAGCCTTTCCTCATAAGACCTTCCCTCCATACCAGGCAACATCCTGGTAAATCTCCTCTGCACCCTTTCCAATGCTTCCACATCCTTCCTCTAATGCGGCGACCAGAACTGTACGCAATACTCCAAGTGCGGCCACACCAGAGTTTTGTACAGCTGCAACATGACCTCATGGCTCTGAAACTCAATCCCTCTACCAATAAAACCTAACACACCGTACGCCTTCTTAACAACCCTATCAACCTGGGTGGCAACTTTCAGTGATCTATGCACATAGACACCGAGATCTCTCTGCTCATCCACACTACCAAGAATCTTACCATTAGCCCAGTACTCTGTATTCCTGTTACTCCTTCCAAAGTGAATCACCTCACACTTTTCCGCATTAAACTCCATTTGCCACCTCTCAGCCCAGCTCTGCAGCTTATCTATGTCCCTCTGTAACCTGCAACATCCTTCCACACTATCCACAACTCCACCAACTTTAGTGTCATCCGCAAATTTACTAACCCATCCTTTTACGCGCTCATCCAGGTCATTTATAAAAATGACAAACAGCAGTGGCCCCAAACAGATCCTTGTGGTACACCACTAGTAACTGAACTCCAGGATGAACATTTCCCATCAACCACCACCCTCTGTCTTCTTACAGCTAGCCAATTTCTGATCCAAACCGCTAGATCACCCTCAATCCCATGCCTCTGTATTTTCTGCAATAGCCTACCATGGGGAACCTTATCAAACGCTTTGCTGAAATCCATATACACCACATCAACTGCTTTACCCTCATCCACCTGTTTGGTCACCTTCTCAAAGAACTCAATAAGGTTTGTGAGGCACGACCTATCCTTCACAAAACCGTGTTGACTATCCCTAATCAAATTATTCCTTACTAGATGATTATAAATCCTATCTCTTATAATCTTTTCCAATACTTTACCCACAACCGAAGTAAGGCTCACTGGTCTATAATTACCAGGGTTGTCTCCACTCCCCTTCTTGAACAAGGGGACAACATCTACTATTCTCCAGTCTTCTGGCACTATTCCTGTAGACAATGACGACATAAAGATCAAAGCCAAAGGCTCTGCAATCTCCTCCCTAGCTTCCCAGAGAATCCTAGGATAAATCCCATCCGGCCCAGGGGACTTATCTAATTTCACACTTTCCAGAATTGCTAACACCTCCTCCTTATGAACCTCAATCCCGTCTAGTCTAATAGACTGTATCTCAGTATTCTCCTCGACAACATTGTCTTTTTCCTGTGTGAACACTGACGAAAAATATTCATTTAGCGCCTCTCCTATCTCTTTGGATTCTCGGCACAACTTCCCACTACTGTCCTTGACTGGCCCTAATCTTACTCTAGTCATTCTTTTATTCCTGACATACCTATAGAAAGCTTTAGGGTTTTCCTTGATCCTACCCGCTAAAGACTTCTCATGTCCCCTCCTGGCTCTTCTTAGCTCTCTCTTTAGGTCCTTCCTGGCTAACTTGTAACTCTCAAGCGCCCTAACTGAGCCTTCACGCCTCATCTCTACATAAGCCTCCTTCTTCCTCTTGACAAGAGATTCTTCTTTAGTAAACCACGGTTCCCTCGTTCGACCACTTCCTCCCTGCCTGACAGGTACATACTTATCAAGGACATGCAGTAGCTGTTCCTTGAACAAGCTCCACATTTCAATTGTGTCCAGCCCCTGCAGTTTCCTTCTCCATCCTATGCATCCTAAATCTTGCCTAATCACCTCATAATTGCCTTTCCCCCAGCTATAACTCTTGCCCTGCGGTATATACCTATCTCTTTCCATCACTAAAGTAAACGTAACCGAATTGTGGTCACTATCACCAAAGTGCTCACCTACTTCCAAATCTAACACCCGGCCTGGTTCATTACCCAGTACCAAATCCAATGTGGCCTTGCCTCTTGCTGCCTATCTACATACTGTGTCAGGAAACCCTCCTGCACACATTGGACAAAAACTGACCCATCTAAAGTACTCGAACTATAGCGTTTCCAGTCAATATTTGTAAAGTTAAAGTCCCCCATAACAACTACCCTGTTACTTTCGCTCCTACCCAGAATCATCAGAATCCAGAATCAGTTGCCTGCCATTTTAACACACCACCTTGTTCCCTGGCCAACATCTGTGTCTCAGGCTTGTTTCTGACATACAGCATCCCTAGTTTTTTTCAGTTTTTATTTAGTGTGACAATGGCCATGCGTTCTGTGATGCTAACTAACAGATATAGAGTAATAGAGGCATACACCACAGAAATAGGCCTTTTGGCCCAACTCGTCCATGCCAGCCAGGCTTCCTAAACTTAACTGACCCCATTTGCCTGCGTTTGGCCCATTCCCCTCTAAACCTTTCCTATTTATGTACCTGTCCAAATTTCTTTTAAATAGTGTAATTGTACCCATCTTTATCAATTCTTCTGGCAGCTTGTTTCATATATGCACCACCCTGTGTGTGAAAAAGTTGCCCTCAGGTCCCTTTTAAATCTTTCCACTCTCAACTATGCCCTCTAGTTTTGGCCTCCGCCTACGCAGGGGAAATGACTTTAGCTATTCACCTTATCGATGCCCCTCATGATTTTATAAACCTCTATAAGGTCACCCATCAGCAGCTGATGCTCAAGGGAAACAAGTCCCAGTCTATTTAGCCTCTCTTCAGAACTGCAACCCTCCGTCCTTGTAAATCGATTTTGCATCCTTTCCAGTTTAATAACATCCTTCCTATAGCAGCACAACCAGAATTGCATATTGTAACCTAAAAGTAGCCTTGCCAATGTCTTGTACAGCTGTAACAAGATGTTCCAATTCCTGTATACAATACTCTGACCGATAAGCGTGCCAAATGCCTTCTTCACCACCTTGTCCACCTATGACACCACTTTCCAGGAATAACGTATCTGCACCCTTAGATCTCTCTGTTTAACATCACTCCCCAGGGCCATACCATGTCCTAGCTTGATCTTACCAAAATGAAAAGTCTCGCATTTATCTGCTTTAAAATCCATACCTATTGATCAGGCCAACATAGACCTCAACTTTATTAACCTGGGATTTCATTGCTAAATGAATTGTATATATTTCTCATAAGCTTTCTAATGAATAGGTGTCTTCTCGGAATGGATTTTGAATTTGACATCCCTGCATAAAGCAGTTATAGAAAGATCCAGTCTTCACTGCCAGTAAAATTGATGCAATTTGAGGATGGATTTCAGTGCAGAGGAAGAGACAGTATGACTTGCATTTATATGTCACTTTTCACGAACTTACAATATACCAAAGTGTTTCACAGATGGGCTTTGTCCAGGATAAACACATGCTGTAGGTGGGCATAGTTTGAAAGTAGGCAGTAAATTAGGAATAGAGACCATTACATACCTAGCATTGAACCAATCTTCATGTGTTGTAAAGTCATCATTTTTGCTCCATATAAACCGTGGTTCCTGATTGGCAACCTGCATTCTAAGGGTTGTGAGGAGAGAAAAGGAGATGAGATAAAGAAAGTGTGTGATTGAATAAACACACTGAAATCTGACAAGGGTAGGGTTAATGGAAGTACTTGAAAGCTCAGAATACATGTAATCAGAAATAGATAGAGAATAAACTATTGAGAGCAGACTGAAAACCGTACATTGTCTTCAAGTTCAGTTAGGATATAGATTTCTGTCATTTATGATGGAAATAATAGTGCAATCTGGCAGAAGAGGACAAGCCAATGTAGAAGATTGGAGAACCTGAATTGCTTGTCCCAGTCTCACTGTGGACTGAGGCAAGTCTTGTCTGTCCTGGTTTGATCATATGAGATGAGGTTTACTTAGTCCAACCTCACTGTGGACTGAGATGAGTATTTCCTGTTCCTGTTTCAATGCAGACTTTCATGTGTATTACCTGTCTCAGTCTCACTATGACTCCGGTATTTGTTTCCAGCTCCAATCCCTACTGAGTGTGTGTTACCTGTCGCAGACTCAAGGTGAATGAGGCGACTGTTGACTGGCCCAGTCTCACTGTAGATGAGGTGTGTGTTACCTTCCACAGTTTTACTCTAGATGGGGTGTGTGTTACCTGGCCCAGTCTCACTGTAGGTGAGGTGAGTCACAGTCTTATTTCAATGAGGCGAGTGTTACCTGTCACAGAATTATTGTGAATTAAGATGAATGTTTCCTGTCCCAATCTCACTGTAGATTACAGTATGTTATCATCAGTCTTATTTTCACTGCAAATTAAGATGTATGTTTAATCCACACACCTCACTGGCCAATAACAAACTTCTCCCATATCCTCTAAATGAATTATTGGATTTTCTTTTGTAAGGTTGACCTCTGTTTGAGCATGGACTGAAGCTTTTTCTCCTCTTGTGAATTTACCATGTTCCAGTGCTGTTCACTACTTGTATGATTGTCGATCTGACCTGGAGAACTATTCAATGTCAGGTTTACACAAAAAAAAATACACAAAAAGTAACATGGTCCAAATGTTACTTACTTTAAGCTGGGCGAATTAAAAGAAATATACATCAGAGACAGGAGTGCTGCACATGTCAGAGCAATAAAGAGCATTTGTTTGCGGCTATCCAACCGGACCTGGAAGTAGAAAAATGCTTAGTTTAAGTACAGTTTGTAGTTGAAGTGGATTTATTCATAATTAACAGTGTTTATCGACCATTTTTGCAACGGCTTTACCTTGGTCAAAGGATGAATTTTCATTATAAGATCAGAAATAGAAGCAGAAATAGACCATTCAGTCCATCGAATCTGCTCTGCCAATCAGTGAGCGGATCTAATATTCCACAATTCCTCTGTCCTGCTTTTGCCCATATCCTTTGCTTCCCTTACTAATGAAAAATTTGTCCATCTCACCTTCTTCACTATGCTTCAAATAATCCCTACAGTGTGGAAGCAGACCATTCGGTCTATCAAGTCCACACTGACCTTCTGAACAGCATCCCACCTAGACGCAGCCCCCAACCCTATTCCTGTAATCCTGCATTTCCCATGGCTAATCTGCTTAGCCTGCACATCCCTGGACAGAATGGGCAATTTATCATGGCCTATCCACCTAACTTGTGCATCTTTGGACTGTTGGAGGATACCGGACCACCTGAAGAAAATCCACACAGACACTGTCCTCTGCAGTAAAGAATTCCACAGATTCATTACATTTACAGAGAAGAAATTTCTCCTCATCTCTGGTTCAATGGATGACCCCTTACTCTGAGATTGTGCCCTATGATCCTAGACTTTCCCACAAGGGGAAACAATCTCTCAGTATCTACCCTCTTCAACCCTAAGAATCTTATATGTGTCAATAAGGTCTCCTCTTGTTCTTCTAAGTGTCAATGAGTACAGACCCAACTACTCAACCTCTCATCGTAAGAAAATCCATCCATATCTGGGATTATCCTTGTGAGCCTTCTCTATACTGTCTCCAATCCCAATATTTCTGTTCTGATGAAGTTCTAATGAAGTGTCACCAGACTTGAAACATTAACTATACTTTCTCCCCACAGATGCTGCCAGACCTGCTGAGTTTCTCCAGCAACTTCTGTTTCTCTTTTGTAGTCTAACTAGTGCCTTGCATTGTCTTAGCAAGACTTTCTCACTTTTATACTCCATTCCTTTTGAAATAAAGACTAACATTCTATATAAGATAACAAGGTGTAGAGCTGGATGAACACAGCAGGCCAAGCAGCATCAGAGGAGAAGGGTATTGTTACCTGCAGAACTTGCATTCTAGTTTTCTGTGATATAATAATGAGGGTTCCCAAATCCCTCTGTGCTGCAACTTTCTATCACCTTTCTCCATTTTAATCATTTGCAGTTCCTCTATCTATCTTGTCAAAGTGCATAATCTCACATTTTGCCATGCCACATTTTTGCCCATTCACTTAAACTGTCTGTAGCCCACTGCAGACTCTTTGTGTCATCCTCACCACTTGCTTTCCCACCTATTTTTGTGTCATTCACAAACTTGGCTGTAGAAATTCACTTCCCTCATCCAAGTCATTAACATACTGGAAATAACTGTGGCCCCAGCACTGATCCCTGTGGCACTCCAATTGTTACAGTTTCAATTCTGAAAGTACCCCTCTTATCCCAACTCGCTGACTTCTATTAGTTGGTAAATCCTCTTTCTCTGCTAATATACTGCACCCCAGCTGTTATCTTATTAATGTGAGTCACCTTAAAAAAACACCATTTGGAAATCCAAATATAGTGAGCCTACTGCTTCCCTTTTATCTATCCTGATGATTACCTTCTCAAAGAGCTTTAATAAATTTGATATGCATGATTTCTCCTACATGAAGTAAGCTGAATCTGCATGATCATATTATGTATTTCGAAACGCTCTTCTGTTACTTGCTTTATAATAGGCTCTAACACTTTCCCAAGGACAGACTTTCTTTTAAAGTAAAGAGGCTGAGGATAAATTCTTGAAAAATGAGGTGAAAATGTCACATAAAATATCAAGGCAAGAATTTGAATTTTCCAGAGACATAATCAAATAGTTTTGAATAGACAACTTCCTGAAATAGGACAATGTATGCATTGTAAAATATAGGAAGGACTAGGACAGTTTTGTTTTGGAAATAAAGACTCATTCCTATATGTTGTGGCTTTATTGACTTCAAGTGGGGAGATGGTGATATGATGGTCATATCACTGGATTAGTAATCCAGAGGCCCTCTCTAATGTTCTAAGAACATGAGTTGAAATCCCACCATCAGATACAATTTAAATTCATATTGGATAAAATAAAGAAATAAATTTGAAATCGAAAGCTAGTTGCTGTAATGGTGAACATGAAATTATTATTGTTTGTCATCGGAACCCCTCTAGTTCACCAGCATCCTTTAGGAAAGGAAATATCTCATCTTAACAGGTCACGCTACGTATAACTCCACAGCCACAGCAATATGGTTGTTTCAGAATTATCCTCTGAAGTAACCTGGCAAGTGGCTGAGTTCAAAGTTACTTGGGGATGGGCAACCAATGCCACCATTGCCAGTGTTGCCCACATCCCAAAAAAGAATATAGGAAACTATAGCCCCGAATCACAATCGAGACAATGAAATACTGTAAAGTTTTCATCGCTGCTGCATGAATGCCCCACTTTGTATCATGAAAGTTCCCTCAAACAGCAATTGGCAATGATCAGATAATGCATATTTCTTTAGTGATGATGGTTATGCAATAAATATTGGCTAACATTGTTATGCTATGCACACCCACAAATGCTTATAATTTCCCTGAAGTGCCTTTTATAAATTACGTTATGTTGGTCCCTCTTGAATCATACTTACCTTCCACATTGTTCTTTTTAGCTTCCCGAGGAATATCTGTCCTTTCATTTTTGCTGTCTTCCTCATTGTAACAAGTGCCCTATTCATTACCAGAGAATGATTACCCGTGCACAAGAACAAAGAAAGAACAAAGAACAGTACAGCACAGGAACAGGCCCTTCAGCCCACAAAGACCACACTGATACGTGACATTTCTCTAAACTGAAAACCTTTTGCCTATTCGCTGGCCATATCCCTCTATTCCCTGCCTATTCATATATCAGTCAAGATGCCTCTTAAATGTTGCTATTGTATCCACCTCCTTTGGCAGCATATTCCAGGCATTTACAACCCTCTGTGTAAAACACTTGCCTTTCACATCTCCTTTAAACTTACCCTCTTTTACCTTAAGCCAATGTCCCCTAATAATTGACATTTCCACCTGGGGTAAAAGACTGATTATCCATTCTACCCATGCCTCTCATAATTTTGTAAACTTCTATCAGGTCACCTCCACATCCTTCGACATTCAAGTGAAAACAAAGGTAATGCCTTGGTAAACCATTTCTGTCTACTTTCCAAAGCCTCCACATCATTCTGGTATGAGGTAACCAGAACTATATGCAATATTCCAAATGTAGCCTATTTTAAGTTCTATACAACTGCAACATGACTTGCTCATTTTTATACCCTATGCCCTGACCAATGAAAGCAAGCATGCCATTTGCCTCCTTGACCACCTTATCCACTTGTGTTGCCACTTTCAGGGATCTGTAGACCTGTACACCTAGATCCCTATGTATGTTAATGCTATTAAGGGTCCTGCCATTTACTTCCCTCGTACATCAGATCTTCCTACATGCATCACCTCACATTTTTCCAGACTAAACTCCATCAGCCATTTCTCCGCCCAAGTCTCTAGCCTATCTATATCCTGCTGTATCCTCTGGCAATCCTCCTCACTATCTGCAGCTCCCTCAATCTTTGTGTCTTCTGGAAATGTACTAATCTGGCCACCTAATTCTCTTCCAAGTGATTTGTATATGTGTTACAAACAACAAGGGTCCCAAAACTGATCCCCTTAGAACACCACAGGTCACAGATTTCCAAACTGAGTAACATCTTTCCGTGGCTACTCTCTGTCTCCTATGACTAAACCAGTTCCGTATCCATCTTAACAGCTCACTGCGGATCCCATGTGATGTCACTTTTTGTATCAGCCTGTCATGAGGGACCTTGACAAAGCCTTATGAAAGTCTATATTGACAACATTTGCCATGCTGCCCTCATCGATAATCTTAGTCACTTCCTCCAAACACTTAATGAAGTTTGTGAGACATGACTTTCCCCACTTAAACTGATGCTGCTTCTCGCTATTAAGTCCATATCTTTCCAAATGTGAGTAATCCCTATCCTTAAGAAGCTTCTCCAATAATTTCCCTACCACTGACATAAGGCTCATCAGCCAGTAATTTCCTGGATTATCTCTATTGCCCTTCTTAAACCAAACAACAATGTTAGCTATTCTCCAGTCCTCTGAGATTTCTCATGTGATGTGTCTAAAGAGGATACAAAGATTTCGCACAAGGCCCCAGCAATTTCCTCATCTGCCTCCCTCATCATTCTGGATAGATATCATCAGGTCCTGGGGACTTGTCTATGTTAGTACTTTTCAATACAGCCAACACTTCCTCCTGTTTTATATTGATGTCCTCTAGCATATCAACATACCCCTCCTGAGACTCACCACCCATCATGTCCCTCTCTTTTGTGAATACCGATGCAAAGTATTCATTAAGGACCTCACCCACATCATCTGACTCTACATATAAATTCCCTCATTGTCCTTCAGAGGACCTACCCTTTCTCTAGCAATCCTCCTGCTCCTTATTTATGTACAAAATACCTTGGGATTTTCCTTAATCTTGTTTGCCAAAGATTTTATGGCCACTTTTAGCCCTCTAAATTCCTTGTTTGAGTTCCTTCCTGCTCTCTTTATATTCTTTGAGGGCTTTGTCTATCTTCAGTTTCCTAAACCTTACATATGTCTCCTTTTTCTTTTTGGCTAAGCTCTCAATTTCTCTTGTCATCCAAGGTTCCTGAATTTTGCCATCCTTATCCATCATTTTCACAGAAACATACTGGTCCTCAATGCTAATCAATTGGTCTTTAGAAGATTCGTACATGTCAGATGTGGATTTACCCTCAAACAGCTGTTCCCAATCTGCATTCCCCACTTTCTGTCTAAAATTGTGGATCCAATTTAATACTTTCACCTGTGGATTACTCTTGTCCTTATCC